CATCATGTTCGAGGAGCTGCCCTACGTGGATCGCATCCTGAAGCTGTGCCAGGACATCTTCCTGGTGCGGGAGACGGGCGAGCTGGAGCTGGAGGAGGAGCTCTACGCCAAGCTCATCTTCCTCTACCGCTCGCCCGAGACCATGATCAAGTGGACACGGGAGAAGGAATAAGGGGAAGGGGCTGCAGCCCCCCCTGACAGGGACATCACCGCCAATGCCTTAAGCAGCCCCCCCCCCAGCTGGGGCACGTCCCGGCCCGGGAGGCAGGGGGATGTGGGGTTCTGGGCACTCCCGTGGAGGGAGGATGTTTTTCTGGATGTTTTTCTTACATTGCTTTGAAGCCGTCCGACCCGCACGGACCACGTTGTGCCTTCCCGGGGAGAGGGGACAGGAGGTGGCCCCCCCACCCACTGGGCACCCCTGGCTGCCAGGTGGGGTTGGGGGGTTAAGAGCCAGCCCGTGCCCCCCTCCCTGCCGGCCCCAGCCCTGCTCCAGAACCAGGTTGAACTCGAGCAATAGCCCCCCACCCCCAGCTCCAGGATGGGGGTCCTGGGTTGTGGCCCCCCCATGTTTGAGGAGGTCTGGCAGCCCCAGTTGGACTTTAGACACTTGTGACTTTGAGTTTGTGTTTTTTTAATAATTCAAATGTTTTATTTATACAGATACCGAATAAAACAAACTTGAGGCCTCCCTGGCTGACAGGCAGCTGGGGCAGGGAGGTTGGGGGAGACCAGAAACCTGCACCCCAGCCCACCGTAAATGGGGATGGAGGCTCTCCCTGCCCCTGGCTGGCACAGAAATGGGGTATAAAAGCAGCTGCCTGGGTCTCAGGAGTCCTCACCAACCTCTGGGGTATCCCTGAGGAGCGGCACCTGCCCCAGCAGTGCCACAGTGGGATTGGTCTGTGTGCCCTGCTGTCCCCAGCCCCTTCAGCTCTCGCTGGCCTCCTGGTTCTGCTCCATCTCAGCTCTGCAGGGGACAGACACTGGATGGACACGGCCTCGGGGCTGAGCAGGCGGGGAGGGACCCCCCAGCCCCGGTACCTGCGGATCCTGCGCTGGCCCTCGGCACGCATGTAGGGCGGCAGCGTGTCCAGGGGACCCTGCATGAGAGGGGCCGTGAGCCTGGGGACCCCCCACTGCCCCCGAGACCCACCCCCTGCACCCCAAAACCTCACCAGCTCCTTGAAGGTGAGGCGGCAGCTGTAGCACAGCAGGGGGATGTAGGCAGCTTTGCTCTCAACCCTGTGGGACAGGGGCGAGGACAGGGACACTCAGCGGTGCCACCCTGGGAGTGGCTGTGGAATCCTGGAATGTCCCCAGCCTAGTGCTCACCCTGCTGCTGGCTCCTCAAAGATCAGCGTGGGCTCCAGAGCCAGCTCCTCCTCTGTAAGAGCCAGGGGGTCACCGAGGGGTGCACAGCTGCTCCCCAAATCCCCCCAGTGCCCTCCCCACTCACCGCCATAGGTGTCCAGGCCGCAGAGGCAGAGCAGGCAGCGCTGCCACTCGCTGCTGGCCTTGGCCGGCTCCGGGCTCAGCTTCTCCCCAGTCCTGCAGCCAAAACGGGGGTTGTGGGTGCACTCCAATCCCCCCACACCCCAGTACCCCCCCACGGACCCCCCATACCGGTACACGGTGCTGATGGTGGAGGGGAACTCCTCCTGCAGCCCCAGCAGGAAGCGTTCAACCAGCTGGTGGATGCTGAGCTTCTCCTGGCGCTGTGGGAACCAACAGGGAGGGCAGGGCAGCACTGGGGGTCCTATCCCTGCCATGGGGACACACAGCGCGGGCTCCCCACCACGGGACCCCCCTACCTTGGTGAAGAGGGGTGGCACAGTGACGCTGGGGACGCTGAAGAAGCGGTTGTAGAAGGCGATCTCCTTGGCCGTGTAGTCCCGCATGGGTCTCACCACCATCACGTCACCGTGGCGCTGGTCCGTGAAGCCCTGTGGGTGCAGGGCTGCCAGGGCACCGTGCCACCACCAAGCCACTACCCCCCACGGCATCGTGTCACCCCTCAGGTGCGGGTACCCGTCCCCAGCTCACCGTGTCCACGGCGAGGAAGGCGCCGCGCCCCAGGGAGAGGTTGGTGAGGAGCTTGATGGCCACGCGCGTCAGGCTCTCGCCCGTCATCACCTTGGCGTAGCCCCTGTCCCGGGCCGTCTGCACGATCAGGTGGGTCCTGGTGACGAGGTGACAGCGGGTCAGAGCCACCCTGCCCGCCTGGCACCGGTGCCGGGCAGGGTCAGTCGCTCACCGCAGCATCTCCAGCAGCTCCTCCCGCGCCGTCGCCGTCGCCACGGCCTCGAAGCTGCGGAGCAGCTCCTGGGTTCGGGCAGCGTCCGGCAGGCGGGGGGTGGCCGGGGCTGCTGCTGGGGTGTCCGGGGTGCTGTGGCCAGGCAGAGAGGTGCCACTGTCCCCATCCTGTCGCTGCTGCTGGATGAAGTTGTCCACAGCCTCCTTGTAGGAAGGGCCGGAGGGGCTGGATGCGGCGGCGCGCTCCGGCCCCGGCTGTAAGATGGATGGGGGCAGCTCCAGTGCCTGCAGGGTAGAGAGGGATACAGGGGAAGTGTTCCAGATGTGTCCCCTCACCTCAGCACCTGTCCCATGTCACCCCAGTACCTCCTCCAGGTGGATCAGGTGGTAGGGGAAGCCGGTGGCCTGCAGCAGGGTCTCCATCTGGGCCAGGGTCTGCTCCCGCTGCTCCGGGCTCTGCCTGCGCACGGCTCCCTCTGGAAGGTGGGGGCAGTGCCAGGGCTGCTGCCACATTCCCAGCCTGTTCCTGGGGCCAGGGTGGCAGCTCCCCAGCCCTGGCACAGTGCAGGGGACACTGTGCTGGGAGTCGGTAACGGGGCAGGGAGTGGGGCTGGGAATGGGGCAGGGAACAGGCAACAAGGCTGGAATGGGGAGTGAGGCAGGGAGATGGCAGTGGGACAGGGAATGGGCAGTTGGACATGGAACAGAGAATGGGCTGGGAGTGGGCAGCTGGACAGGATCAGGGGATGGGCAGTTGGACAGGAGCAGGGAATGGGCAGTTGGACAGGAGCAGGGAATGGGCAGCTGGACAGGAGCAGGGAACGGGCAGCTGGACAGGAGCAGGGAACGGGCAGTTGGACAGGAGCAGGGAATGGGCAGTTGGATGTGGAGCAGGGAACAGGCAGGGAATGGGCAGTTGGATGTGGAGCAGGGAACGGGCAGGGAATGGGCAGTTGGATGTGGAGCAGGGAACGGGCAGTGGGACAGGAGCAGCAGTGGGGCTCCCTCACCCTCAACGTAGACGAGGCCGGGGACGAAGCGGAGCCTCTTGGCCGCCTCCCGGCTGAGCCCCTGCAGAGCAGTGGGGTGAGGTTTGGGGTGGGGTGTGGGGTGAAGGAATAATGAGCCGTGTGCCCCCCAAGCCCCCCCGAGCCCCCACTCTCACCTCCTGCACCTGCCGGACCATGGCACAGGAGGCCGGGCCCCCCGACACTGCCAGCAGCACCTGTGGGGACAGCAGGGACAGTCACGGCCCTGGGGCCACCGCGGGTCCCCCGGCCGGGTCCCCCCCGTGGGTACCTTCTCTCCCGGGAAGATGACGCGGTTCTTGCCCAGCATGGCACGGAACTTGTGCACGAAGTACTCGCGGAAGCAGTCACTGGGGACGTGGGGACACGGGGACTCCTGAGCCACGGCTGGGCCCACACCCCCAGAGCCCGCATCCCCACACCCCAAAGTCCCCTTGATGTCCCCCAGAACAATGTCCTCAGGCCCCAACATCCCAAAAATCCAAAGATCCCCATGAGCCACGTCCCCAAACGTTACTGTCCCCCCCCTCTGTGTCCTCAACACTCAACGTCCCCAAGCCTTGATGTTGTTTGGCCCCCACGTCCCAGACACCCAATGTCCCCAAACCTTGAAGTCCCAGAGATCCAATGTCCCCAGCCCCAGCATCCCAACGCTCCAGACACAACGTCCCTGAGAACAAACGTCCCCAATCCCTGATGTCCCCAAGACCCTAAGTTCCCAAGCCTCCATCTTCTGGAGACTCAAAGACCCCAATTTCTGATGTCCCCAAGCCCTGATGTCCCCAATTTATTATGTCCTCCACCCCCAATGTCCCCAAGCATCAATGGCCCAAATTTCTGATGTCCCCAAGCCCCAATGTCTGATGTCCCCTAGGCCCGATGTCCCAATTTCTGCTATCCCCAATTTCTAATGTCCCCAATCCTCAGTGTCCCCAATTTCTGGTGTCCCCAAGCCCCGATGTCCCCAATTTCTGATGTCCCCAGCTCCGATGTCCCCAGCTCCGATGTCCCCAAGCCCCAGTGTCCCCAATTTCTGATGTCCCCAGCCCCGATGTCCCCAATTTCTGATGTCCCCAAGCCCCAGTGTCCCCAGTTTCTGGTGTCCCCAGCCCCGCTGTCCCCGCGGTCCCTCACCGGCAGAAGGGGTCCCCGACGCGGATGACGAGCGCGGCCGTGCCCTGCCCGCACTTCATGCACGTTCGGGGGTGGCTGCGGGGACACGGCCGGTCACCGGGGACACCGGGACCCGACCCCCCGGGAGCGGCGCCGAGCGGGAACGGGGGCGGTCCCGGTCCCCGGGCAGCACCAGGGATACCGGGATGTTACCGGGGGATACCGGGAGCGGGGGACCGGGAGCACTGCAGGGATACCGGGGGGTACCGGGAGCGGCCCCGGGGGTCCATTGCGAGGCCGGACCGGACTCACACCTGTCTGCCGGTGCGCGGCGGCGCCGCGGCGGTTCCGCGTCCGCCCCGCAGCCACCACCGCCACCCGCCATGTCGCACATAGCGGCGCCACTTGGTCCCGGTTGGTCCCGGTGAGTCCCCGGGGGTCCTGCTCGACCCGGGCCCCGCTCAGCCTCGTTCGGCTCGCACTCGGCTCCGCTCGGCCTCGTTCGGCTCCGCTCGGCCCGCACTCGGCCTCGTTCGGCTCCGCTCGGCTCCGCGCGGTCCCGGCAGGTCCCGCCGTGTCCCGGTGCGCTCCCGTCGCGGGGCGATGACGCGGCGGCGCCGCTCGGTGACGTCGCCCCTGCTCGACCCGGGCCCCGCTCAGCCTCGTTCGGCTCGCACTCGGCTCCGCTCGGCCTCGTTCGGCTCCGCTCGGCAGGCGCAGTTCAGCTGCCCCATCTGCCTCGAGGTTTTCCACCGCGCCGTCGGCATCGCGGGCTGCGGCCACACGTGAGACGGGGCCCGGGCGGGGGCGGCGGGGACCCCCGGGGACCCTCAGGCTGAGCCAGCCCCGGGGACGGGCGGGACGCTGGGCTGGGCGCTGTGCCGGCTCTGGGAGCCTTGCGGGCGCTCTGCCCGGTGAGCCCGGCCGGTACCGGGACCCCCGCTTCACACCGGGGATGGTTCGGTACCGGGACCCCCGGCCCACACCGGGGATGTTCGGTACCGGGACCCCTCACCCTGGGCCAAGTCCCGGGACCCTCATCCCGTCCCACCCCGGGATCCCCATCCCACCCTTCCCCTCCCTCAGCTGTCCCCAGGACCCCCCGAGCCCTTCCCGTGCCCCCCCAGCATTTCGGGGACACCCTGATCCCTTTTCCAGCTGATTTTGGGGACGTTCTCCTGCTCTTTTGGGACTGGGGGCGATTGCTGAGCCCCCCACGATGGCCCATCCCCATCCCCTGGCAGCCTTTGGGGTGCTTCATTCCCTGTTCCTGCTGAGGAGGAGCTCCAGGAATGCCAGGATGATCGGATTTTGGGGACGGGGCTGCTGGGATTCCTTTGCTCCTGGTGCTGTAAGGATCTTGGAATGAGCTGATCCAGGCTTCTGCCTGGCCTGGATACCCAGCACTGCTTTGGGCTGCTGTCAGATCCAGCCTGGAGCCTGCAGCAGCTCCCTGGGGACTCACCTGCTCCCAGTTCTCCCAGTAAGGATGCTGATCCCTGTGAGGCCTGAGAGGCTGCCTAGAACAGAGGCTGGACAGAGCTAAAGGAATAAAGTAGGGATTTATTAAAAGACCTTTAAAGGATGCACCTTGGGCATCCTTGTGAGACCTGAGTCACAGGTTTTCACACTTTTATAAGGTTTGGTCCATTTCCATGTTGGGGTTCACTGTCCACTCACAGCTCCGCTGAAAAGCTAAAACCCGTGTTTTGGGGCGCTGGGGGTGCCCTGCTGGCATCCTGCTGTGCCCGGGGTGCTCAGGGCCACCCTGTGTCCCCAGGTTTTGTGGGGAATGCCTGCAGCCCTGCCTGCAGGTGCCCTCCCCGCTGTGCCCGCTCTGCCGCGTGCCCTTCGACCCCAAGAAGGTGGAGAAGGCTTCCAGCCTGGAGAAGCAGCTCTCGTCCTACAAGGCTCCCTGCAGGGGCTGCAGCAAGAAGGTAAAGCTGTCCCCAGTGTCCCCAGTGTCCCCAGTGTCCCCATCCTCCTCTGGAATCTGTCCAGAGAACAGAACACAGGTGGGGAGGGGTCTGGGGGAGGCTCAGCCTGGGGAAAAGGAGGCTCAGCCTGGGGAAAAGGAGGCCCAGCCTGGGGAAAAGGAGGCTCAGCCTGGAGAAAAGGAGGCCCAACCTGGAGAGAAGGAGGCCCAGCCGGGAGAGAAGGAGGCCCAGCCTGGGGAAAAGGAGGCCCAGCCTGGAGAAAAGGAGGCCCAGCCTGGAGAAAAGGAGGCCCAGCCTGGAAAAGGAGGCTCAGCCTGGAGAAAAGGAGGCCCAACCGGGAGAGAAGGAGGCCCAGCCGGGAGAGAAGGAGGCCCAGCCTGGGGAAAAGGAGGCCCAGCCTGGGGAAAAGGAGGCCCAGCCTGGGGAAAAGGAGGCCCAGCCTGGGGAAAAGGAGGCTCAGCCTGGGGAAAAGGAGGCTCAGGGGGCACCTTCTGGCTCTGCACAGAGGGGACAGCCAGGGGGGTCAGGCTCTGCTCCCAGGGAATGGGGACAGAACCTCTGGGGATCCCTGCAGCCCCAAATCTCCATCCTGCAAGGAGGGATGGGAGGGTGCAGCATTCCCACTGCTGTGGTCGTGGGCCAGAGGTGACTCCCACCTTGGCTGAGCAAAGGCAGCTCCTGTGCTGGCTCCTGGCAGGTGTTCCTGCCCCTCCAGGAGCGTTCCTTGTCCTCCTCCTGCAGGTGACCCTGGCCAAAATGCGCTCCCACGTCTCGTCCTGCGCCAAGGTGCAGGAGCAGATGGCCAACTGCCCCAAGTTTGTTCCAGTTGTCCCCACATCCCAGCCTATTCCCAGGTATGCCTGTGCCTCGGGCAGGGGAGTGTGGCCCTCCTTGCATGCCCTGCCACCCAGGTGTGTGTTGTGCCTGTCCCTGGGAGGAAGAGCAGCGCCCGTTCCCTCCTGGCACTGCCGCTCCAGGTTCCGGAGCGTGGGCTGGGATGAGGGATCCACCCAAGCATGGAGGTGGGCTGGGAGGGGGCTGGGCTGGCTGCTGCTGTCACAGAGCTGTGTGTGTTAGTTTGGGAGGACTCAGTGCAGCCTCCCCTGAGATCTGAGCTCATCCTTGCTCTCCTCAGCAACATTCCCAACCGCTCCACGTTCGTGTGTCCGTACTGCGGGGCGCGGAACCTGGACCAGCAGGAGCTGGTGAAGCACTGCATGGAGAACCACAGGAACGACCCCAACAAGGTGGTGAGTGCTGCTGGGGGGTGTGGGACAGCCCTGGAGTCCAGCCACACCCTGCAGCATCCCAGGCCAGCAGCACGGATGTTTGTGGAGGCACAGCTGTGTTCCAGCTGGTTGAAATCCCTTTGGGAGCAGGGGATCTGGCTCTGCTTTGAGCTGCCTCCATCCCCCTGTTCCTACAAACCAGGTGGTGCTGGATTTCCTCTTGCTGTCCCCTCTGGGTTGAGCAAGTTGGGGAACTTGGCATCTTCAGCACAGGAAGGACCTGGAGCTGATGGAGCGACTCCAGAGGAGATCACCAAGGGGATCAGAGGGGTGGAGCAGCTCTGTCATGAGGAGAGGCTGAGAAAACTGGGATTGTTCAGCCTGGGAGAGAGAATCTTCAGGGAGACCTAATTGGGGCCTTCCAGGACCTGCAGGAAAGGTGGAGAGAGGCTATTGACAAGGGCCTGGAGGGACAGGATGAGGGGGAATGGATCCAAACTGCCAGAGAATTGTTTGGGTTGGGTATTAGGGAGAAATCCTTCCCTGTGAGGGGGGGCAGGCCCTGGCACAGGTGCCCAGAGCAGCTGTGGCTGCTCCTGGATCCCTGGCAGTGTCCCAGGCCAGGCTGGATGGAGCTTGGAGCCTGTCAGAGGAGGGGCACACACCACTCAGCTCTCTGGGAGGTCCCTGTGCAGGTGCCACCATCCTGTGTCCCTGTCCCCTCAGGTGTGCCCGGTGTGCTCGGCCATGCCCTGGGGGGATCCCAGCTACAAGAGTGCCAACTTCCTGCAGCACCTGCTCCACAGGCACAAGTTCTCCTACGACACCTTCGTGGTGAGTCTGACCCTGAGCCAAAAAAGGGGGACCCCCCCATCCCATGTCCCATCCCATGTTCTGAAACCAGCCCTTCACAGGGCACACGTGGCCCACCCACGAGACCCCACACCCACCAGGGTGTCCTCACACACCAGGAGGAGAGGGGATTGTTCCTGCCCTCCACAAAATGGGTTTTTCCATGGAGCTCTTCCCCTGAGGAATTCTAACACAGAGGCCCTTTTCTTGGAGGTTTTGGGATCAGGGGGTGGGACCAGGGTTTGGTGGGGGTGTGGTTGCTGCACGTGGGAGGGTCCCTGACCCCTCCTGTGTGGGGGGCACTGATGGCTCAGCCTTGGCCTCAGGGGAGCCTCTGTTCCCATCCTGCTTTCATTGGAGAGATGTCAGGGAAAAGAACCTCCAGGCATTTTCAGAGGAATATCCCAACCCCTGGCCTTGCTAAAAAGCTTCACCCTTTGGCCTCAGCTTGTGTGGGCAGGTTCCATCCCTCCTGGCAGCTGTGAGATCCCAGCAGGAGAGGGACGTGGGCGCTGGGGACACCGGGAAGAGCACGGGTGCCACTCCTGGCATCCGTGTGGCACGGCAGCGGGCAGGGCTCCGTGGCACAGCGTGCCCTGGCTGTGCCAGCTCTGCTGAGCTGCCCTCTTTGGCTTTCAGGATTACAACATCGACGAGGAGGCAGCGTTGCAGGCGGCCCTGGCTCTGTCCCTCTCTGAGAACTGAGGCTGATCCCTCTCCCTGCCCTGGCTCCTTCTGCACACTCCAGGAACCCTCTGGAGCCCCTCTGCTGCCTCTGTTCCCACTGCAATTCCCACCTTGTTTAAGAAGGTGGAGCCTCTTTGGTTGTCACAGTGAGTGAGCAGAGAGCTCTGGAGCAGGGCTGGGATCCATCCTTGGATTGGCATTTAATATCCGTGCTGGGAGCATAGCCCCGTGTCCAGATCTATTTATTGTTAGATGCTTTTTGGCACGCTCCTCCCTGCTCTCTGTTGCAGCAGAATAGGTACCTGAAACTGATAGATTGGATGCCAAACACCCTCATTTGGGACTGGAATCAGCCACATCCTTTTAAAAAGGAGGAAGGCAGCACAGAGCATCTTTTTTTAAACTCTCCAAGGATTTTTCTAGAGATGTCAGGCTGTCCTGACCCCCGTGCTGGAGGCTGGAGCTGCCTCCTTCACCTGAATCCCAGGATGAGACTGAAGAGTGGTTCAGAGGAGCCCTGGAGGATGGCATCCAGCATCCAGGGAGACCCTTCCTCGTTTTGTACCAGCTCTTGGGACACCAAATCCTTGCCTTTTTCTACACGGAGCGGCGCGAAGCCTTTTCCACGTTTTCTAGAGCGGGGTCAGAAGCTGCTCCCCTTCACTCTGCAATATCTGCCACCTGGGACAAGAGTATTTTTATGGAACATTATTAAGAAAGTTTATTTTTTACACAGATAACCCAAGCAAATGAACACTTGGATTGAGAATGGAGTGGGAGGCAGGAGCTGGATCCCGGAGCGGGTCGGACTCGGGTGGGAGGGAGTGCAGGGATCTTTCTGGGCCATCCTGGATATTCTGGGCCTTTCCCTTCCCTCAGCAGAATTGTGAGGGAGCAGGCAGGATGGTTGGGTTGGATCCAGGTGCTGGTTGCCCATGGAATGGCTGTCCATGCAGGATCCCAGCCCCGAGCTCCCGATCCCCCCAGAAATCAGGGACTGCATCTCCCTGTGGTGATCCCTCCCTGGGAACGGGGCACTGCTGATCCGGGGTGCTCCACAGCATCCTGGTGACCCCTTCCCCCTGCCCCTTCCTCTCAGCCCTGCCTGCTGCTGCTGGAGTTGGCTCTGGAGGGCTGGGAGAGGCTGGGAGGGAGATGGCAGCAGCCACGGGGCGAGCCCTGAGGGAGGGGGTGATTCCCTGCAGGATTTGCAGGGAAAGGTGGGAGAGGCCCCCTCTGCATCTCCCTGCTCAGAGAATTCCTGAGCTTTATCCAAAACCTGGCTCCAGCTCTGCTCTAGCAATACTGCCTGGGGTTTGTTTTGGTTTTCACAGCATGGATGATTTTGGGATCTGCAGCCGTGCAGGGAGCCCTGAGCTCCCCTGGCAGGGCAGGGAGAGGGATGGGACCTCCTCTGCCCAGCATTGCTGGCTCCTGGGGGTGTTCCTGTGGGATGGAGAGCTCTGGCACCTTCCAGGAGGGACCCAGGAGCATTTCCCTGTCCTGTGCTCAGCTGGGACCCTCAGCAGCACCATTAACCTCGGGCTCCTTCCCTCTCTCCTCCTTTTCCTTCTCCTTTTTGCCCCACAGAGACAGAGCGGGGGCAGCAAGAGCTGCTTTTGTAAAGCACTTTAAGGCCCTGGGTGTGAGGGGCCACGCCAGGCTGTGCCAGGGGTCATTCCTGTGCCCGGGATCCCTCCGTGCCGTGGATCCATGGATCCCACTGGCCGTGCCCACCAGTGCATCACCCACCACTTTTTTGCATAATTAGAACTTTTAACGAGCCGTCCTGTTTTTTGAAGAGGAATTAACTCTACGACGTATTTGTAGCAAACCATTTTTCTCAATAAAGGCAGTTTCATCCACGCGTGGCCTCTGTGGGGGGAAGCACTGCAGGGATACTGGGAGCACTGGGATGCTGGGGCACTGGGATACAGGGAGTACTGGGAGCACTGGGATACTGGGAGCACTGGGATGCTGGGGCACTGGGATACAGGGAGCACTGGGATGCTGGGGCACTGGGATACAGTGACCTTGTGGCAGTGGGAGCACTCAGGGAGTGCTGGGGACATTTGGAGCACTGGGAATATTTGGATATTTGGGGTGTGGAGGTGACCAGGAGTGCGGCAGCACTGGGGACACTAAGTAGCACTGGGGCAGTGGGCTGCCGGGGCCTGAGCTGTGCGGGGAGCCCTGGGAGCGGTACCGGGAGCAGAACCGGGAGTGGTACCGGGAGCACCGGGACGGTACCGGAGGCACCGGGAGCATCTGCGCATGCGCAGGTCTTGCCCAATTCAAAAATGGCGCCCCGCAGGCCCGGCCCAGCGCGCTCAGGGGGCGGGGCCGCCCGTGGTCCGATCGCTGCCATTGGCTGTTGGGAACCGTGTGCTGCGGTCTTGACCAATGGCGAGGCGGGACCGGCCGCAGGCCACGGTCACGTGCATGGCGCGGGGGCGGGGCCCGAGTGCTGCCGGCAGCGATGGCGGCGGAGCGCGCGCTGGCCATGGCGACCTGCACGGCCCCCGTGAACATCGCCGTGATCAAGTACTGTGAGTGCCGGGGACACGGCCGGGCGGGCCGGGCACCTCCGGGGCTCGGGCTGGGCTGGGGGTGCCGGGCCGGGCTGTGCTGCACCGTGTCCCTGCTTGCCGTGCCGTGCCAAGCGCTGTTATGCCATGCTTTGCTCTGTGTCCATCAGTGCATTCCGAGCCGTTCCATGTCTCTCCTAGCCATGCCATGGCATTCCTGGCTGTGCCATGCCATTCCAGGCTGTGCCATGCCATTCCTGGCTGTGCCATGCCATTCCAAGCTGTGCCATGCCATTTCTAGCCGTGCCATTCTAAGCTGTGCCAGCCACATGCTAGGTGCTGTCATGCCACGCTTTGCTGGTGCTGTCAAACTTTCATGCCATTCCTAGCTCTGCTATGCTCTTCCATGCCATTCCAAGCCGTGCCATGCCGTGCTCTCTTGCAGGGGGCAAGCGAGACACCGACCTCATCCTGCCCATCAACTCCTCCCTGAGCGTGACGCTGCACCAGGACCAGGTGGGTCAGCATCAGGACCAGGTTTAGGATCAGGACCAGGACCAGGTTTAGGACCAGGACCAGGCCCAGGTTTAGGATCAGCCCCCAGGGGTGCTGAGCCCCCTCCCTCTCTCCCCACAGCTCAAGACCACCACGACGGCGGCCGCCAGCCGGGATTTCACGGAGGACCGGCTGTGGCTCAACTAAGCCATGCTAGGTGCTGTCATGCCACGCTTTGCTGGTGCTGTCAAACTTTCATGCCGTTCTTAGCCATGCCATGCCATTCCTAGCCCTGCTATGCTCTTCCATGCCATTCCATGCCATTCCAAGCCGTGCCATGCCGTGCTCTCTTGCAGGGGGCAAGCGAGACACCGACCTCATCCTGCCCATCAACTCCTCCCTGAGCGTGACGCTGCACCAGGACCAGGTGGGTCAGCATCAGGACCAGGACCAAGTTTAGTACCAGGACCAGGTTTAGGATCAGGACCAGGACCAGGTTTAGGACCAGGACCAGGCCCAGGTTTAGGATCAGCCCCCAGGGGTGCTGAGCCCCCTCCCTCTCTCCCCACAGCTCAAGACCACCACGACGGCGGCCGCCAGCCGGGATTTCACGGAGGACCGGCTGTGGCTCAACGGGAAGGAGGCGGACGTGGGGCACCCGCGGGTCCAGGCCTGTCTGCGAGAGGGTGAGTGTCCCCTGCCCGGGGGTGTCCCTGCTGTCCCCTGTCCCTGCTGTCCTTGACCCCACTGTCCCCACTGTCCCTCACCCTGGTGTCCCTGACCCCACTGTCCCCGCTGTCCCTGACCCTGCTGTCCCCTGTCTGTGCTGTCCCTGTGCCCAGTGTCCCTGTCCCTGCTGTCCCCACCATCCCTGTCCCTGCTGTCCTTGACCCCACTGTCCCTGGTGTCCCTGACCCTGCTGTCCCTATCCCCAATGTTCCTGACCCTGCTGTCCCCTGGCCCTGCTGTCCCTGTCCCCACCATCCCTGTCCCTGCTGTCCCCACCATCCCTGACCCCGCTGTCCCCACTGTCCTCACCATCCCTGTCGCTGCTGTCCCTGACCATAGTGTCCCTGACCCCGCTGTCCCCACCATCCCTGACCCCACTGTCCTCACCATCCCTGTCGCTGCTGTCCCTGTGCCCGGTGTCCCTGACCCCACTGTCCCCACCATCCCTGCCCCCGCTGTCCCCACTGTCCTCACCATCCCTGTCGCTGCTGTCCCTGTGCCCAGTGTCCCTGACCCCGCTGTCCCCACCATCCCTGACCCTGCTGTCCCTGTCCCCACTGTCGCTGCTGTCCCTGTGCCCGGTGTCCCTGACCCCACTGTCCCCACCATCCCTGACCCCGCTGTCCCCACTGTCCCTGTCCCTGCTGTCCCCACCATCCCTGACCCCGCTGTCCCCACCATCCCTGACCCTGCTGTCCCTGTCCCCACCATCCCTGACCCCGCTGTCCCCACTGTCCCTGTCCCCATTGTCCCCGCTGTCCCTGACCCTGCTGTCCCTGCTGTCCCTGTCCCCACCATCCCTGACCCCGCTGTCCCCGCAGTGCGGCGCCTGGCTCGGAAGCGCCGCGGGGGCGGTGAGGACACGGCAGCGCTCAGCCTCTCCTACAAAATCCACATCGCCTCCGAGAACAACTTCCCCACGGCCGCCGGGCTCGCCTCCTCCGCCGCCGGCTACGCCTGCCTGGGTGTGTCCCCCGCCCTCTTCTGTCCCCTCCTGGGCTGGGAGAGAGGTGACAGGGCTGTCCCCTTGCTGGGACCTGTCCCCTGCCTGTGGCGCTATGGCATGGAGGGCGCTGGGAGGGGGTGACAGGGCTGTCCCCTCTGATTGTGCTCTGGCTGGTCTGGCTCTGTGGTAGCAGCAGGAGGGGTGACAGGGCTGTCCCCTCTGTGCTCTGGCTGGCCCAGCTCTGTGGTAGCAGCAGGAGGGGTGACAGGACTCTCCCCTCTGATTGTGTTCTGGCTGGCCCAGCTCTGTGATAGCAGCAGGAGGGGGGACAGGGCTGTCCCCTCTGTGCTCTGGCTGGCCCAGCTCTGTGGTAGCAGCAGGAGGGGGGACAGGACTCTCCCCTCTGATTGTGCTCTGGCTGGCCCAGCTCTGTGGTAGCAGCAGGAGGGGGGACAGGACTCTCCCCTCTGATTGTGCTCTGGCTGGCCCAGCTCTGTGGTAGCAGCAGGAGGGGGGACAGGACTCTCCCCTCTGATTGTGCTCTGGCTGGCCCAGCTCTGTGGTAGCAGCAGGAGGGGGGACAGGACTCTCCCCTCTGATTGTGCTCTGGCTGGCCCAGCTCTGTGGTAGCAGCAGGAGCAGTGACAGGGCTGTCCCCTCTGCCTGTCCCCGCAGTGTCGGCGCTGGCCCGGCTCTACGGGCTGGAGGAGGAGCTGTCCGAGGTGGCCCGGCGGGGCTCGGGCAGTGCCTGCCGCAGCATGTTCGGGGGCTTCGTGCAGTGGCAGCGCGGGGAGCGCCCCGATGGCACCGACAGCCTGGCCCTCCAGGTGGCCCCCGAGACGCACTGGCCGGAGCTCCGCGTCCTCGTCCTGGTGGTGAGCGGCTGGCAGGGGATTTGGATGGGATTTGGGACGTGGAGGGGCTCAGGAGGGGCCGTGTCCCAGTGCCTGTGTCCCCCCAGGTCAGCGGGGAGAAGAAGCCGGTGGGCAGCACGGCGGGCATGCAGACCAGTGTGGAGACCAGTCCCCTGCTGAAGGTAGGGGGACATGGGACTCGTCCTGCCTTGCAGGGACAGGGTCCCCTTTCCCTTGGAATGGGGCTGGAGGGGGTGCAGTGACACCCAGAGGGTCGTGGCGCTGTGGGTGTCACCAAACTGGGGGGACAATGATCTTCCTCCTGTGGGTATCCCCAGATTCAGGGTGACCACAACCCACCCGTTGTGGATGTCACCAAATCGGGGTAACCGTGACCCTCCTGCCATGGGGTGTCACTAAACCGGGGTGGCCACACCCTGCCTGCTGTGGTTGTCACTGATTTGGGGCGACCACGACCCGCCTGCCGTGGGTGTCACTGTGCCGATGGTGACCCCCCTGCTGTGGCAGCACCGGGCAGAGGTGGTGGTCCCCGAGCGCCTGGCCCAGATGATGCAGCACATCCGGGACCGTGACTTTGAGGGCTTTGGCCAGCTGGCCATGAGGGACAGCAACCAGTTCCACGCCACCTGCCTCGACACCTTCCCGCCCATCTTCTACCTGACGGACGTGTCCCGCCACGTCATCGCGCTGGCACACCGCTACAACGCCCACCACGGCCACACCAAGGTACCCACAGGGCCCTGGGGGCTGCCACACGACCCTTGTGCGGGTCCCCACGTCCCCACCGTGCCCCCGCAGGTCGCCTACACCTTCGACGCCGGCCCCAACGCCGTCATCTTCGCGCTGGCCGACACCGTGGCCGAGTTCGTGGAGGTGGTGAGGCGCAGCTTCCCCCCGGCCACCAACGGGGACCAGTAAGGGAACCCCGCTGCTTCCCGGGGTGCTGGGGACGCTGGGGACGCTGGGGACGGGGGCACTGAGCGCTGGCCATGCCGCAGGTTTGTCCGGGGGCTGCCCGTGGGCCCGGCCGCGCTGCCGCGGGAGCTGGAGGGCGCCGTGCTGGCCGAGCCCGTGCCGGGGGCTGTGCAGTACATCCTGCACACCAAGGTGAGCCTGGGGCTGGGGCACGGCCACCGGGGGGGACACGGCCTCTCAGGAGGGGTCTGACCACATCCCTGGCCCCAAGGGGGTGGTGGGACCCCACTGCTGTGCCCAGGGGTGTCCGGGACCCCATACTTGTCCCAGTTCCCAGGGGGGTGTGTAGGGCCCTGTTCTCATCCCCAGGGGCTGAGTGTGGGACTCCATCCCTGTCCCCATCCCCAGGGTGGTGTGAGGGACCCCATCCCTGTCCCCATCCCCAGGGCTTTGTGTGGGACCCCATCCCTGTCCCAATTCCCACGTTGGTGTCCAGGACCCCATCCCTGTCCCCATCCTCAGGGCTTTGTGTGGGACCCCATCCCTGTCCCCAACCCCAGGGGTGTCCAGGACCTGATCCCTGTTCCAATTCCCATGGTGGTGTCCAGGACCCCATCCCTGTCCCCAGCCCCAGGGGTGTCCAGGACCCCATCCCTGTCCCCAGCCCCAGGGGTGTCCAGGACCCCATCCCTGTCCCCAGCCCCAGGGGTGTCCAGGACCCCATCCCTGTCCCCATCCAGAGCTTTGTGTGGGACTCCATCCCTGTCCCCATCCCCAAGGGGGTGTCCAGAACCCCATCCCTGTCCCCATCCAGAGCTTTGTGTGGGACTCCATCCTTGTCTCCACCCTGGGGGTGTGTGTGGGGCCCTATCCCAATCCCCAGGGGCTGAGTGTGGGACCCCATCCCTGTCCCCGTCCCCAGGGTGGTGTGTGGGACCCCATCCCTGTCCCCGTCCCCAGGGTGGTGTGTGGGACCCCATCCCTGTCCCCATCCCCAGGGGGTGTGCAGGACCCCATTTCTGGACACATTCCCACTGGAGTGACCTTTTGGGGTCCGTGGGGCCCAGAGCTGTCCCCCACCCGCAGCGGGGGGTGCCCTGCCAGCAGCGGGGCTCCCCGGTGTCCCTGAGCCGTGTCCTGCCCCACAGCCTGGCCCCGGTCCCCAGCTCGTGGATGACCCCAGCCAGCACCTGCTGGGCCCGGATGGGCTGCCCCGGAGCCGTGCCTGACCCCGGTGACACTCGGGGACAGCCGGGACACGCCGGGGGGACTCTGCCGGTGCCACCAGCGAGCCTCAGGACCCTGAGCCAGGCCTGCTGCAAAGCTGTCCCCAGCCCTGGGGCAGGATGTCACCCCGGGGCTGGTTTTTAATCTTTTGTAAAGAAATAGAGGGTTCCTGGTTCCAGTGCTGTTTGGGGTGTCGGGTTCTGTGCGTGGGGCTGGGGGGGACAGGAGATGGGGACAGGAGATGGGACTCCGATGTCGGGCTGAGCGTGTTCCTCCACACAGCCCTGTCACCCCACATGACCCCTGTGTCCCTTGTGGGACATCTCCTGTCCTGTATGCCCCCAAGCTGTCACCGATCCTGTCCTTCCACACTGCCCCTGTCCCTTGCACGTGCCACATCCCCTGTCCCCTCCCTGTCCCTTGCAGGGCTGATGCTGTCCCCATCACTCCGATGTCCCTGCTGCTGGCACGGATCTTTTGCCCATCCCTCTGCTGTCCCCGCTGCTGGCACGGGTCCTGTCCCCTCGCATGGCCCCTGTTGTCCCGGGCTGTCCCTGTCCCTCCGCGCCATCCCTGTCACCACCGTGTCCCGTGTCCCGTGTCCCGGTGTGGCCCCGGGCCGGTGCCGTGTCCCCGCGGGGGCGTGGCCTGTGGGGAAGGGGGCGTGGTTAATACAAACGGGCGTGGTGTATTGGAAGGGGTGTGGTCAGCGCGAAGGGGGCGTGGCCCACCCGCCTTCCGGATCGGGACCGGCCGAGCGGAGCCGAACCGGGACGGGCCGGGCCCACCGGGAGCAGCCGAGCTCCAGCGGGCAGAGCGAAGCAGAACGGGCCGAACCGGGCCGAGCAGAACCCGACCGGGCTGAGCCGAGCTGAGCTGAGCCGAACCGAACGCGACCGGGCTGAGCCGAACCGGACCGGGCTGGGAATAGCCGAAGGCGCTCGGGCCGAGCCGAGCGGAGCCGGGAGCAGCCGAAGGCGCTCGGGCCGAGCCGAGCGGAGCCGGGAGCAGCCGAAGGCGCTCGGGCCGGCCGCTTGGGGCGCGGGCCATGGGGCAGATCGAGTGGGCCATGTGGGCGAACGAGCAGGCGCTCGCCGCCGGGCTCAGTGAGTGCGGGGCTGGGGCTTTGGGGCACCCGGGCACTCCGCAAAGTCCCCGGGCTCTGGAGGGAGCGAGCGCCCCGCGGGCTGGGCAGGCCGAGCCCCGGCCGATGGGACTGGGGGGGTCGCGGCCCCGCCGGGCTGAGGGTGCGGGCGGGGCACGGCCGGGAAGTCGCGGCCCAGCGGGGCTGGAGCCTTCGCTTCCTCCTTTTCTCTTCCTCCTCTGCCCTCTCTCCCTCGGTTCCCTCCTCTCTCTTCCTCTTGCTCCGGCCCCGAGGCCAAAGAGCTCCCGCAGGGCCCCGGAGTTGCCGATCGCCCCGTGGGGGGCCTGGGCCGGGGACCCCCTCCGAGCCCGGGGTCCCCCGTGTCCCCTGTGTCCCCAGGGCCAGAACCCCGCTTGGGGTTGCGGGGGGCCGGGTCCTGGGTTTGGGGGGACATATCCTGAGCTCGGGGCTGTGTCTGCGGTTTTGGGAGCTGCACCCCAGGCTGGGAGTTGTGTCCGGGGTTTGGGGGGGTGTATCCCGGGTTGAGGGCTGTATTATCCAGGTTTTGGGGGGTTGTATCCCTCTTTGGGGGGTTGTATCCCGGGTTTGGGGAGTTGTATCCCGGGCTGGGGGTTGTATCCAGGTTTGGGGATTTGTATCCCGGGTTTGGGGGGTTGTATCCCGGGTTTGGAGGGTTGTATCCCGGGTTTGGAGGGTTGTATCCCGGGTTGGGGGTTTTATCCCGGGTTGGGGGCTATATCCTGGTTTTGGGGGGTTGTATCCCTGTTTGGGGGTTGTACCCCTTTTGCGTGTTGTATCCCGGGTTGGGGGTTATATCCCGGTTTGTGGGGGGTGTCTCCCGGGTTGGGCTCGGTATCCCGGCCCGGTGTGACCGCTCCATCCCGGCTGTTCCCGCAGTCCTGCTGACGGGCGGGATCGTGGCCGTGGCGGGGCAGTTCAAGGGCTGGTACTTCGCGGCGTATTCCATGTATCCTTCCCGACAGCATTCCCGGGGCAGGGCTGCGGGAAAACCCTGTCCCGATCGGGCTGGGAGGCATGGCCGGGGAGGGGTCACATCCTTATCCCCCCACCCTGCTCCAGCTGTGCGTTCCCTGCCCCGCACAGCCCTTGTTTTGGGATGCGGGTCGTTCCTCGGGGCCGTTCCCGGTCCCATCCTGCCTTTCCTTGACGTCCCGGCAGTGCGGCAGGTGTCCTGGTCTGCCTGCTCGAGTATCCCAGGAGCAAACGGAAAAAGGGCTCCACCATGGAGAGGTGGTGAGTGCTGTGTCCCCCCCGCAGCCCTGGGGGTCCTGGTGCCCCCCGAACACAGGGATGTGGGAGCAGAGCTGGATCCCACGGGTGCGTTCCTCGGGGTGATCCTTGCAGAGGAGGCTGGCTGTCCCCTGAGGGTGGGGACACCCCCAGTGACCCCCTGCTGTCACCCTGCAGCGGCCAGAAGTACCTGACAGCTGTGGTGAAGCTCCTGGGGCCCCTCACCAGGAATTATTACATCCGAGCCGTTCTCCACGCCGCGTGAGTGGGGTGCAGGGTCGGGACTGGGGCTGGCATCCCAGAGTGGGGTGCAGCGTTGGGGCTGGGGCTCGGATCCCCGCGTGGGGTGCAGGGTCAGGACTGGGACTGGGATCCCCCTGAGGGGGGGGCAGGGCCGGGGTTGGGGCTGGGACCCCCGAGGGGGGTGCAGGGTCGGGGTTGGGGCTGGGACCCCCGAGGGGGGTGCAGGGTCGGGGTTGGGGCTGGGACCCCCGAGGGGGGTGCAGGGTCGGGGTTGGGGCTGGGACCCCCGAGGGGGGTGCAGGGTCGGGGTTGGGGCTGGGACCCCCGAGGGGGGTGCAGGGTCGGGGTTGGGGCTGGGACCCCCGAGGGGGGTGCAGGGTCGGGGTTGGGGCTGGGACCCCCGAGGGGGGTGCAGGGTCGGGGTTGGGGCTGGGACCCCCGAGGGGGGTGCAGGGTCGGGGTTGGGGCTGGGACCCCCGAGGGGGGTGCAGGGTCGGGGTTGGGGCTGGGACCCCCGAGTGGGGTGCAGGGTCGGGGTTGGGGCTGGGACCCCCGAGTGGGATGCAGGGTTAGGGCTGGGGCTGGGCCCCCCTGGCTCCCTCTGAACACCAAATCTCTGTCACAGCCTGGCTGTCCCTGCTGGATTCCTCCTCTCCACCATCCTGGGCACTGTCTGCCTGGGCATTGCCAGTGGCATCTACCTGCTGGTGAGTGCAGGGGGGTTTTGGGGGGCTGGGAGGTGGAAGCCACCCCTGAACCCACACACCAGTGCTTCCATATGAATTCCAGAAGCATTCCCAGACGGGGCTGCAGGAACAGCTTGTCCTGATCAGGGTGTGCAGGGGTCACATCCTCCTCCCCCCACTCCCGTCCCCCGGTGCTTTCCCTGCCCCCATCAGCCCCTTTTTGGGGTGGGGCTTGTTCCTTGGCACTGTCCCGATCCCACAGGCTGCAGTTCGAGGGGAGGAGTGGAGACCCATCGAGCAGAAGCCCCAGGAGCGGCCACAAGTGGGGGGCACCATCAAGCAGCCCCCCAGCAACCCCCCGCCCCGGCCCCCCCCCGACGCCCGCAAGAAGCAGCCGGAGGTGGGGGGGCAGGTGAACCCCATCCCCGTGGAGGTGGAATAATGGGGGATCCTCCTGCCCTGCTCCTGCTCCTGCTCCTGCTTCCCAGCTGCTCCTGGGTCTGCTGCAGCCGTCGGGCTCCTGGGGGTCCCCAGAACCCCGGGGGTGCTGAGCTGCTTGCTGTGGGTCCCCAGCTCCTGGTGATGCTCAGATCCCTGGGATCATCAGTTCCTCTGGGCTCCCCAAGGGATTCCCAAATCCCCAGTGATGCTCTGGGGTCCTCAGCTCTCCTGGGGATCCCCAAATCCCCTATGATGCTCAGCTCCCAAATTCACAGCGATGTGGTGTAGGATTTCCATCTCCCTGTAGGATCTCCATCTCCTGGGGATCCCCAAATCCCCTAAGGTGCTCAGCTCCCAAATTCGCAGCGATGTGATGCTCCCTGTGGGGTTTCCAGCCCTCAGGGACTTCCCAACTTCTGGAGAGTCTCAAATCCCTGGGGCTGCTCAACTCCCTGTGGGGTCTGCAGCTCCCAGGAGCTCCCCAGCTCCTGGACCTCCCCAAATCCCCAAGAACGTTCAGCTTCCTGTGGGGTCTGCAGCCCCCAAGGCCTTCCCAGCTCCTAAGGATCCCCCAAATCCTTGGGGATTCTCAGCTCCCTGTGAGTCTCCTGCTTCCAGGGGCTCCTCAGCTCCTGGGAAATCCCAAATCCCTGGGCATGCTCAGCTCCCTGAGGGTCTCAGCTCTCCAAGCACCCCCCAGTTTCCTGGGGGATCCCCAAATCCCTGTGGAACTCCATCTCTCAGGGAATCCCCAGCTCCCGGGGGGATCAGGCAGCTCTGATCCGGCTCTCCCTGGTTTTTGTCATTTCTGCAGTTGCTGTTGCAATAAAAAGTGGGAAAGGCACCAGCTGCCCCTGCCTCCTGCTCCAGGGGGAATCTTCCAGTCCTGCCCTGCTCCTGGGGGGCTGGGACAGGACTGGGGAGGTGTTTTGGGGACAATCAGTGCAGTTTTGGGCAGATCCAGGATGTGGATGTGCAGAGTATGGTCATGGCAGGGTCCTCTCCCAAAATCCTTGTGGAGCCAGCAGTGGGGAGGAACTGGGAGGGCCCCACACTGGAGCTGCACAGCGAGTCCCAAAGGAGCCCCCAAAACCTGGGATAACCCCCAGCAGGGAATGTGGGGAGCATTTCCCTTCCCAGTGCCACTGGTGGCTGCTGCAAGTTCCCCGGTGTGATGTGGGTGCCAAATCCTGGATCCCACTGGGATCAGCAGCTGCTCCAGGCCCCTTCTGCCCCCTCCCCACACAGACCCTGCCCCCTGAGGGGCTGCAGGTGGCCCAGGGTCCCCCGAGGTGCTGCCAGCACAGGTGGAGTGGCCCTGGCAGGTGGCACCGGCTCCGTGGGATGTGGTGCCCGGGGGCAGAGCCGTGGGAAAGGTGTGGGTGTCGGGGTGCCAGGGCTGGGTCCCCCCCGGGCTGGCGGTGTGGGGCACCCCCGTGCCCTGCCGCCCTCCCAGCACCTCCCAGTTCATCGTGCCCTGCTGCACTGGTGCTCTGCCCACCGTGCAGGGGCTCAGGGGTGTCCCACAGCTGGCACTGCCCGTGGATGTGCCTCTGTCCCTGTGCCCCAATTCCCCACATCCCAACGCCCTGGCTGGGAACAGAGCGAGGGCTGTGCCAGGAGTTGTTGGCTTTTATTTGCAGCATTAAATAGCACTAGGCAGGAGACAATAAATACCTTTTTGGGGGAATAAATAACCAGCGAGTGCAGCACTCACAGCGTCTGGCCGTGGGGCGATGCTGGCCCCGCAGTCACAGCCGCGGCTGGGGCGGGGTGGTGGGGGTCAGCAATAAATAGAGGGTACAAAAAGCCCCCCGGCAGCAAGGCTTATAAATAACTCATAAATAACCAGGGAGGGGACGCCCCGGCGGGGTCGGGTGCTCTAAAACAAGCACGGGCGGGGTGGCACGGTGCCCGGGGCGGGCTCAGCGCGCCGTGCGGGGCAGGACGCAGGTGCAGCCCACGGGCACTCGGATGTAATCCACCTCCAGCGCCACCAGCCCCGGCGCCGCGGGCCGCGGGCACGGCTTGCGCCGCAGCACCAGCATGGTCTGCTGGATGGTCACCGAGTTGAGCGACGTGGTCTCCCGGCCGGTTTTCACGTCCACGCAGCCGCTGCACAGGCACTCGGCGAAGGCCAGCTTGCGCGGGTAGCGGTTCTCGTCCTCGTCGATGCTGCGGGGGACACGGCGACACCTTTCCCTTGTGCCAGCGGCTCTCGGCGGCCGGGCCGGCCCAGGGGCGAGGTGGGGAGGGGATGCTCGGTGCGGGGCTGCGGGGGCACTCACCGGTAGCGCCACGGCGAGATGGAGCGCTCGTGGGGCTCGCCGCGGAGCCCGGCGCGCAGCGGCAGCGCGGGGCAGGCGGGCGGGGGCCCCGCCGGGCTCGGGCCGCTCCAGCCGCGGTACCAGCTGCACCGGGACGTGCCGGGCCCAGCGCAGGCGGCGGCCCAGCAGCTGGGCGGGAGCCTCGTCCCCCAGCTCGGCCCCGCTGTAGCAGCGCACGGCAGAGTGGCCCGAGCCGCCCCCGGCGCGCCGCAGCCCCCGGCACTGCCCCAGGGCTGCCAGCAGGGCCAGGGCAGCCAGCCACACCTGGGGGGACAGCACAGCGTCAGGGACACCGCGGGGACAGGCACACACGGGACAGTGACAGGGACACCGAGGGGACAGGGACACACAGCACAGCGTCAGGGACACCGCGGGGACAGGCACACCAGGGACAGTGAAAGGGACACCGAGGGGACAGGGACACACAGCACAGCGTCAGGGACACCGCGGGGACAGGCACACCAGGGACAGTGAAAGGGACACCGAGGGGACAGGGACACACAGCACAGCGTCAGGGACACCGCGGGGACAGGCACACCAGGGACAGTGAAAGGGACACCGAGGGGACAGGGACACACAGCACAGCGTCAGGGACACCGCGGGGACAGGCACACCAGGGACAGTGAAAGGGACACCGAGGGGACAGGGACACACAGCACAGCGTCAGGGACACCGCGGGGACAGGCACACACGGCACAGTGACAGTGACACCGGGGGCACAGGCACACACAGCACAGTGACAGTGACACCGAGGGGACAGGCACACACAGCACAGTGACAGGGACACCCAAAGGGACAGGCACACACAGGACAGTGACAGTGACACCGAGGGGACAGGCACACACAGGACAGTGACACCGTGGGGACAGGCACACACAGCACAGTGACAGTGACACCGAGGGGACAGGCCCACACGGGACAGTGACAGTGACACCGAGGGGACAGGCACACACGGCACAGTGACAGTGACACCGGGGGCACAGGCACACACAGCACAGTGACAGTGACACCGAGGGGACAGGCGCACACAGCACAATGACAGTGACACCGGGGGGACAGGCACACACGGGACAGTGACAGTGACACCGCAGGGACAGGCACACACAGCCAGAGCATCGCTGACACCGAGGGGACAGGCACACACGGGACAGTGACAGTGACACCGAGGGCACAGGCACACACGGGACAGTGACACCCAAAGGGACAGGCACACACGGCACAGTGACACCACGGGAACAGGCAATGTGCGTGTGCAGCCACACGGCCCCGGGCCTGGCCAGCTGTGTGTCTGCAGCTACCACCTGTCCATCATCCATCCCTCAGCTATTATTAGCCATTATTAGCCATTATTAGCCATTATTAGCCGTCCATTAGCTATTCCTCTATTCCTCTACGTCTCTGTGAATGTATAATCTCCATATCTATATGGCTCTCCAGGTCTGTAGAGCAGCTATACATTTTTATCTGTACCTAGGGATCTCTGCAGCTCTGTCTCTGCGTGTCCCTATCTACATATTTATATATCTGTATCTCTCTTTATCTGTCTATATCAGTGTATCTATATATTTATATCTACCTATATATCAGTATATGAATATAGCTAGCTATTTCTATCTAGATCTATCTATATTTATATCTCTCTATATCTATATATCAATATAACTAGCTATGTAAATATTTCTATCTCTATCTCTATCTATTTCTATCTATCTCCATCTGTCTATATATCTATTTATATCTATACCTATCTCTCTATCCATTTCTATATTTATCTAGATCTATCTATATTTATACCTCTCAATATCTATATATCAATATATCAATATAACTAGCTATGCAAATATTTCTATCTATATCTATTTTTATCTATCTGTATATATATATATTTATATTTATATCTATATCTATCTATCCATTTCTATCTGTATCTAGATCTATCTATATTTATGTCTCTCTATATCTATATATCAATATATCAATATAACTAGCTATGCAAATATTTCTATCTGTATCGTCTAGCGCATGGATATATCCATATATTAAGAAATTATATATTATAAATTATATATGTATCCATTATATATTATGTATTGGATATATACATATATATTACAATATTGTATTTTATTATTTTGTGTATATATGATGTATATGCATATGTGTATATATATCAATATAAAGCACAGTTTCCATATATACATATACATTATATGTGTGTGTATATTTTAATCTTTATTTATATATTTTATATGGGTATAAAGCACAGTATACATATATACCTATACATTATATATATATGTATATTTTTATATTTATTTATATTTTTAAAATTTATATATTTTTAGATGTACACATAGCTCAGTATACATGTATACATATAAATATATTTTTTGTATTTATATATACATGTACATATGTTTATATATTGGTTTATATTAATTTATATTTTTATATTTATGTAAAAATATATGTACATATATATATACATGTATATATGTTTATATAAAGTTGTATATTTATTTGTATTTTTATATTTATGTAAAAATATATGTACATATTTATATACATGTATATATGTTTATATACAGTTGTATATGTATTTGTATTTTTATTTTGATGTAGAAATAGATGTACATATTTATGTATATTATATATGTTTATATACAGTTGTATATGTATTTGTATTTTTATTTTGATGTAAAATAGATGTACATGTTTATGTACATGTTTATGTACATGTTTATGTACATGTTTATGTGCATGTGTCTGGCACAGTCTGCACGCCCTGCCCCTGCAGGAGCAGGAAATCTCCGTGCACACACCTGCAGCTGATCCTGGGCACTCACACCCACACGGACACAGAAAACACCCCTGTGTGTGTGAGGGGAATATTGCAGGAAGGACAAACAACCCCGGTGAGCAGAATAAATAATGGAAAGAAAAAATAATGGAAAGAAATTAAAAAAAAATTAGAAATACATATAATATTAATAAATAAAAATAAAGGGAAATATAGGAAAGAAATTAGAAATACATATAAATAGAAATATATCAATTTATATACTTCAATATTTAAAAAATTTAAGTATATAAAATAATCATTACTATAACTATTTACTATAAATAAGTAAATAAATATATAAAGGAATAGATAATATAAAGGAAAGGATAAAGCAAAGAAACAGAGAGTAGAAATCCACATAGAAATTGAAAATAAAATAGAAAATTAAAATAAAAAAATAAAAATAACATAGAATGGACTATAGATAACATAAATTTGAATATAACTGAATAGTAAATATGGTCCCTGCAGTAATAAATAAAAATGTGGGTGTTGGCAGAGCACACGCAGAGGGGACAGGGATGAAAGAAATTTAAAAAAAATTAGAAATACATATAATATTAATAAATAAAAATAAAGGGAAATATAGGAAAGAAATTAGAAATACATATAAATAGAAATATATCAATTTATATACTTCAATATTTAAAATAATTAAGTATATAAAATAACCATTACTATATTTACTATAGTAAATAAATATATAAAGGAATAGATAATATAAAGGAAAGGATAAAGCAAAGAAACAGAGAGTAGAAATCCACATAGAAATTGAAAATAAAATAGAAAATTAAAATAAAAAAATAAAAATAACATAGAATGGACTATAGATAACATAAATTTGAATATAACTGAATAGTAAATATGGTCCCTGCAGTAATAAATAAAAATGTGGGTGTTGGCAGAGCACACGCAGAGGGGACAGGGACACCTGGATCCCTCTGTGAGTGCAGGGCTGCCCTGGAGCGTGGGATTAAAAACATATATACACTTATAAATGGATAAAAATAGGTATAAATATAAAAATAGATATAAATACAGACAGACACAGCAGTGCACACACACACACAGAGCGCTGCCAAGGAAATAAATATATATAAATATATATAAAAATAAATAAATAAATATATATATATATACATATAAAATATATATAAATATAGATATACACACACAGAGCCCTGCACAGGGTGTGTAAGACACCCACATGTAATAAAAACACACACACATGATAAAAACACACACACAGAGCTGTGCACATGACATGCAGCACATATAATAAACACACACATACATAATTAACACACACTGGCAGAGCTGTGCATATAGTGTGTAACACACACATAAAATGCACACAGAGCCTGCACAGGGTGTGTAACACACACATAAAATCACACAGGGTGTGTAAAACACACATAAAATCATACAGGGTGCGTAAAACACACATAAAATACACACAGGTGTGTAACACACACATAAAATCATACAGGGTGTGTAAAACACATAAAATACACACAGAGCCTGCACAGGGTGTGCAACACATGCATAAAATACACACAGGTGTGTAACACACACATAAAATACACACAGAGTGTGTAACACACACAAAAATGCACACAGAGCCTGCACAGGGTGTGTAACACACACATAAAATCACACAGGTGTGTAACACACTCACAGAACTGTGCATGACAGGTAACTCACACCTGTGACAAAAACTCACACAGCGCTGTGCAGGCTGACATGTGACACATAGAATAAACACACTCACATAATTAACGCGCACATAATTAACACACACTCACATAATTAACACACACACACAGAGCCCTGCACACGGCGTGTTACACGCACAGATATAAACACACACACACAATAAATACACACACATAAAATACACATACATATAAAATATGGAGAGCCCCACACATGCGGTGTAACACACATAAAACTCACACACAGAGAACTCTGCATGACAGGTAACACACACACACACACACACACACACACACACACACACACACACAAAGAGGTAATAAAGTGAAAATACACACTGTGCATATATAACACACACATAAAACATGCACACAGAGAACCCTGCAAATGGTGTGTAAGACACATGGTGTGTAAACCACACATAAAACACAGAACCCTGCATGTGACAGGTAACACACACACACAGAGCTGTGCACATACATAACACACACATGAAACAGAGAACCCCACACGTGACAGGTAACACATGTAATGAACACACACACACACATAATTAACACACACAGAGCCCTGCACACGGTGTGTAACACACACGTGTGTAATAAAAACACACAGAGCTGTGCACATGACATATAACACATATAATGAACACACACACATTTAACACACACAGAGCTGTGCACACACATAACACTCAGAGAACCATCAAACACTCAGAGAACCCCACACATGACATGTAGCACATGTAATTAACACACACACAATAAACACTCACACAGAGCCCTGCACATGGTGTGTAACACACACATGTGTAATAAAAGCACACAGAGCTGTGCACATGGTAACACACACTACACCCCACACATGACACATGTAATGAACACACACACACATACACAGAGAGCTGTGCACATGACATATAACACATATAATAAACACACAGAGAGCTGTGCACACACATAACACGGACATAAAATGCACAGAACCCTGAACACGACAGGTAACACACACACAGAGCTGTGCACATATATAATACACACATGAAACACACAGAGAACCTCACACATGATATATAACACATATAATGAACACACACACAATGAACACACAGAGAGCTGTGCCCAAGGTGTGTAACACACACATTAAACCCCAGACATGACATGTAACACATGTAATGAACACACACACAATAAACACTCACACACAGAGCTGTGCACATGTAACACACACACTGAACCCCACACATGACATGTAACACATATAATGAACACACATACACACAGAGAGAGCTGTGCACATGGTAACACACACACTACACCCCATACATGACACATGTAATGAACACACACACAATGAACACACAGAGAGCTGTGCCCAAGGTGTGTAACACACACATTAAACCCCAGACATGACATGTAACACATGTAATGAACACACACACAATAAACACTCACACACAGAGCTGTGCACATGTAACACACACACTGAACCCCACACATGACACATGACACATGTAATGAACACACACACAGAGAGCTGTGCACATTGGAACACACACACTACACCCCACACATGACACATGTAACGAACACACACACACACACACAGAGCTGTGCACATGGTAACACACACTGAACCCCACACATGACACGCACCCCCCTCTCCCTGCCAGCCCCACTTTCCCCCCTCACCCCCAACATCCCCCAAACCCCACGTTACCATCAGCCAGCCGTCGAGGGACCACGCCAAGATTTGGGGGGGGCGAGGGAGGTGCAGGGAACACGCCCAAATTTGGGGAAAAGCTCGGGGGGACCCTCGGGAAGCGCAGCCCCGGGGATGAGGCGGCCGAGTGGCAGCGCCGCCGCCGCCGCCGCCTTTTTATAGGGCCGGGCAGGTGATGTGCACACACCTGGAAACTCCAGCACGCTCCTTCCTCCTCCCCGCTCCGCGCCGCCACTTCCTCCTGCACTCCACGTGTGCCGGCCGGGAGCACGGGCGCCTCAGAGCTCCAGAATTTGGGCAGGGAGGTGGGAAGGGGTGTCCCGGTGACACCGGGACGGGCATCCCCCAGGCCGTGCCCCTGTTGCGTCACCGGCACCGTGAGATCACCGTGGCATTCCCGGGCAGAAATCCCGAATTGGGCAACGCTGGGAAGGGCTCGAGGGCTGCCATCACCCCTCCGGGATGGCCCCGTGGCCTCCAGCAGCTCCAGAGGGACATTGGTTTCTTCTTTTCCTTATTGCTGGGAGCAAGGAGCGGGGCTGGAGGGTGGGAAATTCCAGGGGATGGGAAATTCCAGGGGATGGGAAATCCCAGGGACCCCAAAAGTTGTTCTCTGAATGAGACAGGTCCAGCAGAGGTACCCCAGATGTACCCCCCAGTGACATTTCACACCAGTAGGACACTGGTTCCATACTGGGAACAAGGAGCCTGGGAAATCCACCGGGACCCTCAGGGAGCCCAAACACTGCTCCCTAAATTAGGGGGATTTATCAGAGGAACCCCTCAATGGCGCCAGGCAGGGCAGAAGCTGCAGAACCCCCCAGTTACACAGCAGAAATGCACTGGTTTCACACTGGGTGCTCCCCCAGGAATCAGAGGAGCTTTTCCAGCTCCACGGAGCTGCTCATGCCCCAAAAACCCCCAAAGTGAGGGGTACAGACCCCCCCCCCCCCCCCCACGCCCCCCCCCCCCCCTGCAAGGTGATGCAGAGAAAAGCAGGAAAAGGTAAAATTGGTTATCAAAATATTTTATTTCAGGGAGATCCCTCCAAAAAAAAAAAAAAAAAAAAAAAAAAAAAAAAAAAAAAAAAAAAAAAAAAAAAAAAAAAACAAAAAAAAAAAAAAAAAAAAAAAAAAGGAAAACCAAAGGAAGAAGGACCCTCCTGGCAGACGGACACGCCCACAACACCTGCAGGGCTCCTGGGAATTCAACGGAACCGACCCCCTGCTCCAAAGAAACGACAGGTCACTCCGAGGGGACTGAGGCAGAAATATATATATATATATATTTTTCCTGGGGGAGGAGGGGTGCTGCCAGCAGTTCACAGCAGTTTTCGGCTCTCTCGGCACACGGGACTAGAACTGCATTGCTGAAGACACTCAACACACAGCAGGGCTAACTAGGAGAATACAACTCGAGCCTAGCAGAGAGGAGAGGGGACACAGGAGAGCCGGGAGCACCCCACGGGGCTGGAGTCCTCTGTGCACAATTTCCAGGCCCCGGAGCCCTCCCGGAGCCGCTCGTGGAGCCGGACAAAAACTTCCTTAATTTTTCTGGATTTTTTTTTTGTGTGTGTGTGTGTGTGGATGGGTAGGTTTGTGGTTTTTTTTTTGTTTTTTTGTTAAAAAGAACCGCGGCCAAAACGAAGAGGAGGAACTGCAAAACCCCAAAGCGGCCGCAAGCGCGGCTCTTTGCGATAAAAACACCGGCAGTCACTGCGGGCCGCGGCCCCACTATACTTTTCCCGGGATCTTGGCGCGTTTGCGGGCGATGGCGTCCTCCACGGCCTTGAGCTGCTTCAGGAGCTCCTCCCGCCGCGACAGCGTGCTGGACTTGCCGCCCTTGGCGGCGGCGGCGCCCGGCTCCGCGCCCTTGCCCGGCACGCTGGTGACTTTGCTGGAGCTCTTGGACTGAGGGGACAGCTGGCGTTTCCTGCGGGACAGAGAGGGAGCAGTGACAGGAGCTGGGGATGTCCCCGAGGAGCGAGCCCCGCTGGCCGCGCCGGAATTGCCGTTTTAAGGTGCTTTCCTGTCCCAGAGATATTTTATGAAAAGTCCTTTTGCCAGGATCTTTTCTCCTGAGAAGCTGGGAGGCTTCAGCTTCTCCGTGTTTTGCTGCTGTGGAATGTGATTTGGAGCATTGTTTACCCAGCACGTGGAATTGTTTTTGCTTGGTGACCAGTGACAGCCACCTGTGTCGAGGCTCTGAGCAGTCACAAGATTTTGTTATCCATAACATTCCTTTTCTTTCTAACTCTCTGATGGATCCTTTCTCTCTGTTCTTTTTTGTATAGCTTTAGTACAGCAGTATAATATAATATACTATACTATAATATAATATAATATAATATAAATCAGTTTTCTGACACATGGAGTCAAGATTCTCATCTCTTCCCTCACCCTGAGACCCTCGAACACAACTTTCCCACACAAATTCCATCTCTTTCCATAGGCAGGAACCCTTTTCAGTACCCAGGGTTGCTCCAGCCTGGCCTTGGGCACTGCCAGGGATCCAGGGGCAGCCAGAGCTCAGGGATCCAGGGCCTGCCCACCCTCACAGGGAAGGATTTCTCCCTAATTTCTGAGCTGAACTAAAACACCAGGAAGTGCCACATCTAACACATGGCTCCAGGAGTAGGTGGGATAAAAGAGGCTGGAGACAGGAGGAGGCCTTGGGTTGAAAACTGGCTTGAACAGTAAAAAACAGCCATTCCATCGGGATTCCCAAATTCCCAGGATTAAACTCAGTGCCAGCTCGTGGCTGCAGTGAGCAGCTCCCTGTGAGCCCCAGAGGGGAGAGCAGCCCTGGAGCACCCCTCAATCCCAAACCCTTCAGCCCCTTCCCTGTGGTGTTGCCCCCAGAGATCCTCGGAGAGGATCCGCAGCCCCCAGAGTCGCACATCCAGCCCTGCCCTGGGACATTCCCAGCGCTGCAGCAGGCACAACCTGCCAGGAATTTGGCTGAGCTGCTCACCTGGCACCTGCATGGATGGAAGGTGCAAAGGCAGGGCTGTCACTGCTCTGTCCCATGCAGGGGACACATCTGAATATGCCTCAGCTGGCAAAGGGAGCAGCTGAGGGTGTGCCAGGCTGGGAAAAGCGGAATGAGGCACTGGAACCAGGAGCTGGCCAGGGGCTGCACTCTGGTGCTCATTAACACTGTGCTAACAAGCTGCAGAGGCACTGGCTGAGCTCACTCCTGACCCACTTGGCTCCTGGTGCTCCTGCTCTTCTCCCAGCTGGAATGGCCCAGCTGGAGGCTCTGCAGGAAGCCCTGGCACCCCTGGCACCTGCCCAGGCAGCTCCGCGTCCTTCCTCGCGCTGCGCTCCACAGGAACTGCAGCTGCCAGCCTGGGACAGCCTGGGACAGCCTGGGAGAGGGGCTGGAGCCCTGGAGGAGCAGGGCTGCAGGCCCTGGGGGGCTGTGAGGCAGAAGCAGCAGCACTCACCTGTCTGCCTGTGCAGGGGAAGCTTTTGGGTTCTGGCCCCGCTGCCGCTCCTGCTTGGGGGACGAGAGTCTCCCGGTCGCCTTCCTATCGCGAGAGCCTGGGGGAGAGCAAAAGGACATTCCTTCATTTTCCTGCTTGGCACCAAGGAACAGGCCACCCCCTAGCCTGCACCGACTGACCACATCGTGCCAAAAAAAATTCCAAGTCCAGCAGCAGCTGGAAAAGCCTCACTGTGAGCCCCCTGCACCTCTGGGGGAGCGGAGACGCCAGGCAGGGCTGTGCCCCGCGGTCTCCTGTACACACCACCTTCCACCAGCCCTTCCTCACCCTCCAGCTGATGGAGTGAGGCTCTTGCCGTGGCATTTTGTGCCTGCAGAGCTGCTGGCTCTGCCCTGGCGGGTCACAGGGTGTACTGGCTCCAGCAGTGACAGGTGAGGGCAGCTCTGCTGCTTTCGGAGCCAGCGGGGCCTCCCCCGAGGCAGCAGCACCCTCGTGTTTGTTCAGCACGGCTCAGCTGCCAGGCCCTGCCCCAAGAGAGCTGCCCTGGGCACCCAGGGATGCTGGGGAGCAGCTGGGCTATCCCAGGAACAGAGAGGGAATTCCACCTGGAAGGCAGCCTGTGCAGCTGCTGCCCTGCTGTGACCTCAGCTGGAGCAGAGGTGCCCAGTCCCTCGTGGCAGCAGCCCCTGCGTGTGCCAGGGCATCCCTCTGCTCCTGAGGATGGACACTGGGACAGCCTCAGCCCACAGGTGCAGCTCACAGAGCAGCTGACACACTCAGCCACCAGCACTGAGCAGTTTTGGTGCTGGGATGCCGAGGGGCTCAGTCCCAACTCAGCCAAGGGCACCTTTGCCATTGGATTTGGGGCTCCATGGCTGGGACTCCTCATCCCTGCAGGTGTCCAAGGCCAGGCTGGATGGGGCTCAGAGCAACCTGGGGTAGTGGAAGGTGTCCCTGGCTCTTTGGTCCCTTCCAGCCCAAATTAATCTGTGCTTCTACGATCTGCTGCAGCTCAAGAATTTGCTTTTTGACAGAAAGCAGGGGATGACACCAGTGTCTCTCTAGAAAGCGTGCTGGCCTGGCCCTGCCCCTCGTGTGTGAACCAGACCCCAGTGAACTTCAACCTCGGGCAGTCCCTTGCAGGCTGCCCTGGCAGGAGGTGAACGTTGCAGGTTATTAGCACAGACCTTCTGCTGGCTGGCACCCAGAGTCAACAAGATCCACCTACAGCTGAGCCACCAGGGAAAACAACATCACGTGGCAGTTCCGACGTCACCAGCAGCCACCTCTGGCTGCCAACTCTGCCCCCACTCCCTCTGCCTCCTGGCAGCCACAGCCAAGGCTGGAGGGTGGCACTGAGGGCCCTGTCTGTGGCTGCCAGCTCGGTTTCCCGAGCTGCTCCTGCTGCTGGGGAGGATTGAGGCCCAGGAGAACACTTGGAAAGCCCAGGTCTTTCTAAACATCCAGGGCAGAGCGGGTTGTGTCACCCAGAGGTGGGGCAATCAGCCCATGTCCCAGGCTGGCTGATGCAGGCAGGGGTTGATTGCATCCCTCCCTCCAGCCCAGCCTTTCGAAGCACCAGCCTGGCTGGCAGGGACAGCTGTCCCGGGAAAACTCCGGGATGCACCAAAGGAAACTCCTGTGACTCACAGTCCTGGGGTGGCTGAGGCTTGGAGTGATCTTCAGGATCATCCAACCCAACCTGTAGCCCAGCACCACCATGGTCACCACTAACCCTGTCCCCAGGTGCCACATCCACACGTTTTTGGAACACCTGCAGGGATGGGGACTCCCTCCCTGACGGTCTGTTCCTTTCTGGGAAAAAAATATTTCCTAATTTCCAAACTAAACCAGTTCTCCACAGCCACATCCAAGGCCAGCAGCAGTGAGCAGGAGGCTGTGGGGTGGATGTGGAAGTGAGAACTCCGTGTCTTCAAAGCCAAGGGCTTGTTTTTTTGGACAGGCCTTACAGGAGGCACACTGGGCACAATGTGCCCCTGGGACAGTGTGACAAGGCTGGCACTGGCCTGCCCAGGGCCTCAGCTCTGCTGTGTTTTTGCAGCAGGATGGTCCATACCCCCCCTTTATCTGGTGGCAACGTCACTGTGAGGTTTTGGGATGACTGCAGTGGATCTTTCCAGCTGTTGGAAAGCAGAGCCTGGGCTGGAGGATGCCTCACCTCTGTCAGGTGACAGGTTGGCCCGTTTGGCTGGAGGAGAGCTTGGCCTCTCTTTGTCTGCTGGCTCATATCTCTTCCTGCTTCCTTTGTCAGCTGCCTGCAATGGAATTAAAACAATGGAGCTGAGCAGCCACTTCCCTCTGCAGAGGGAAACAGGCACAGCCTTTCCCTGGGATGTGCTGCAAACACCTTTCCCAATAAACTCTGCACACACCAGTCCCAGCCATCCCCAAATCCACCTAATTCCCAACCACCAGGAGCCAACAGCAACACCCCCCTGCACCAGGGTTAAGGCTGTGCTAATTTCAGAACAGCAACAGGAAAACAGCAGCTTTCTGGGATGTTTTTTTGCCCAGCAGCACCAAGGATAGCAGATGTGAAGGAGGCATGTGGAGCCGTGCCTTTTCCAGGCTGTCATGTGTCACTGCACACTCCTCCCTCCGGAGCAGCTTCCTGCCTCTGATAAAGCCTCCTCACGTCAGAGCACAGGGAAGTAGAGAAATCTGCAGCCTCAGACTGCGCCGGGGAATTTGGGCTGGCAGAGCAAAATATCAAAAACAGGAACCTGCCCACGTGATGGGGCCAACACCCTGCCCCAGCAGCAAACCCCACGAGGCCCAACTCCCCCACACGGGCTGGCATCTGCGCCGAGGCTCCAGCCGGGGCAGCGGGAGCAGAGGAGAGGGGGAGAGCCCAGCTGGGCACCCCAGGAGCTGCCCTGCCCCTTGTCCCTCTGCCCTGTGTGCCTGCTGTTCCCTGGTGTGGCACAGGAAGCGCTCCCAGAGCATCTCCCAGGGGAAAGGTCCCTGCACACCGGGACCTTCGAGCAAGCGGGGAAGAGCCTGGAAGCTGCAGCAGGAATGTGCCCCAGGGAAGCCGCTAACACAGCCCCAAAGTGAAGCCACCACAGGGTGTGTGCTGCCAGACTGGTTCTGTGTGCTGCCCTCCAAGCCAGCCCCAGACCTTCCTGGCTGAGCTCATCCCAACAGAGCCAAGCCTGGAGCTCCCCTCCTGCCAGGATCCATCCCTTTCACTCCAGCAGGGATCCATCCCTTTCACTCCAGCTGGGATCCATCCCCCTCCTCCTGGGATCCATCCCTTTCACTCCAGCAGGGATCCATCCCCCTCCTCCTGGGATCCATCCCTTTCACTCCAGCTGGGATCCATCCCCCTCCTACCAGCATCCATCCCCCTCAGGCCCCCAGGGGCAGGGAATCCCAGCCTCCAGGGATTCATTCCCACCTTGTTCAGGAGCGTCAGTTTGATCTCCTTGTGCCCGCTGAAGCTGCCCTGCTGTGCCTGGGGGGCCGAGGGCTGCTGGCCCTGGGGCAGCTGCTGGGATTTGCTTCCTGGGGTGGGCTTGGCTGATTTCAGGAGCTGAGCAGGCACATCCCGTTTCCTCTTCTCCTCTTTAGCACTGTCTTCTTTTTTTGACTTTCCTGTTGAAAGCAGAGGGCACAAGTGGTCACTAGGGAATGGTTCCTGTTGCCTGCTCTCCCTTTGGGCAAGAGGACGCTGCTGCAGGGATGGAAAAGCCCACAGCAGTTAGCACAGCTTGTGGACACCAGGTTAAGGGATTCAGGAAACCAGCATTTCCAGAGAGCAACAGAAAAGACAAAGAACAAAAGGCTTTTGCCACAGACTGCCATGGTCTGGAACGAGCAGAGGAAGAGCAAAGTGATACTGGAGTTGTCCAGATTTACATCACCTTCCAAGGGTGAAAGAGAATGGGAGAGGAAGAACTGCCAGGCAGGAAAAGGGATGAGACAACCAGAGGCACAGGGATGGAAGGATGTGGATCTAAATTTGCTCCACAGCCTCCCTTCTCCCCAGGATCTCTGCTCAAGGATTTTCCTGGAGCCCACAGAATTGCCAGGGAAGGATCCCTGCTCCTCCCTTCTTCTCCCAAGACTCCCTGGAGGAATACACCCCCAGCAGAGCAGGTGCCTGTACCTTTCTTCTGCTGGGCCGGGGTGGGGGAGCGGGAGCTGGCCGAGGACACGGGGCTGGCCAGGTCCGCGTACATGTCCTCGGAGTCGGCGCTGCGCACGGAGCTGCTGCTGGACGAGGCACTGGACACGGAGGAGACGCTGCTCACGCTCAGGGACCTGCCAAGAACCCACAGCTCATCACACCCAGGAAGGCAACGAGGCCTTTTTTGCATTTCCCTGCGTGGCTGGGTGTTGGGAAGCTCGGCAGGGAATGACACACAAAGGCCGTGTGTCCTGGGGTGCTGCTGGTATGAAAACCCCAAAGCTGTCGGGTGCAGGCCTAGAAAGTAATGATTATTTATAGCCAGGATTGAGGCAATGTGTAAACAGGTCACTGTTTGCCCAGGAAAACAGGGAGTGAAAGCAGGGAGTGCACTGGCACATCCAGGTCAGTGTTACAGCTCAGGGCAAGGGTTCCCTGGCAGGGTTTCTGCTGCTGGCACGCATGCACTGTCACGACTGATAACGACAGGGAGATGCCTCCAAGATGGAAATCTCCCAGCAGGGCCTATCCCAGGAAGTGTTCAAGCCAGGCTGGACAGGGTTGGAACAACCTAGTCTAGTGGAAGGTGGCAGAGAGTTGGACTGGATGAGCTTCAAGCTCCTCTCCAAGCCAAACCATCCCACTCCATGAATATTCAGGCAGCCTCTCCAGCCTGTTCCACGGGCCACACCGCCCTGCTCTGCCAGCAGGGCCCAGGCTCCCTGGCTGGAAGCTGCATTGGGATGACTGAAGGGGCTGTGGCAGCTTCAGCACGGACCAACCCTCTGCAGCCTCTACCCCTGGCACCAGGAGCCGAGTTCTGAGAGGTCTCATGGATTGTTCCAACGGTGCCAGGATGAGCCAGGAACTCCTCCAGGCTGGCCTGGTGTGGGCACACAGTGCATTTGCCACGTTTCCCCCTTCCCAGAGGAGCAGCACAGGCAGCCCCAGTGTGCTCACATTTCCCATCCATGCCCTGGTGCTCTCTGAAGCTCTTGCATCACCCCAGGCTGAGCTGATGAACGTGACAAGCACGGAGTAAACAAGCCGGGATTTCCGTAAAATAACGCGGATGTTGAACCTCGGAGTTCCACAGGGTTCACAGATGGGAATTTGCAGCTGCTCAGAGCCAAATCCTGCTCCATCCACTGGTTTTACACCACAGGGCTACTCTAACACCCGTGTGCCAGGGAAGTGTTGGGTTTCAAGGCTCTGCCTGGGAGGATTCAGGGAATCCTCTGTGTGAAGAGATGAAAAAAACCTGAAGGAATGACTCGAGAGTGGTTTGTTTTTCTTTGCTGGAAGGATTTTGTTGTTTACACATCCCACAGACCAACAGACTTGGAACTGTTCACTTGGGGCTAAACACAAAGGAACTGGACCTACAACTTTTCCAGCAAAGGGAAAAAATCATTAGCTGGGCCTTTTAGGGATTTTCTGACCTACCTCTCTTGACAGGGCAAGCATCTTCCCTAAGGACAGGAACCAGAGGTAGGAGAGGCTCAGGAGAGCCAAGCTCCATAGCCTGAAACTGTTCATTTGTAGTTTAATTAGGATGTGGGATCACCCTGGCCAGAAGGAGTTGTTCTGGTCACCATTTAGCTTAAATGGGTACTTGGACACACATGACAGGATTATTTCCTTGAATAAACCACAAGGGAAATATCAGGGAATCATGGAATGGTTTGGGCTGCAAGGGACCTTAACGATCACCCAGTTCCAACCTCAACACCTCCCAAAGGAGCAGGCTGCTCCAAGTCCTGTCCAAATTGGCCTCGGACACTTCCAGGGATGAGCCAGCCACAGCTTCTCTGGGCAACCTGAGCCAGGGCCTCCCCACCCTCACAGGGAAGCATTTTTCCCAAATATCCCATTGAAATATCCCCTCTGTCAATTTAAGGCCATTATATCTTGTTCTATCACTCCATGCCCTCCCCAACACTGTATTCCCATCACAATTCAGGATTTGGGATCTGTGACACAAACCCAAGCTTGTCCCGCCTCCCAGGCACCTGCAGCTGGTGCTGCTGGAGCTACAGAGAGCTTCCACTGCAAGAAACCAACAGCCACAACCCCTGCTGTTAAATAAAGGTCACAAAGGCTCAGGGCTGTACCTGGATTTCCTTGAGCCGGAGGGAGAGTGGGAGACTGAGGCAGAGGATGATCTGGAATGAGATCTGGAGAGAGACCGGGACAAGGACCTCGATCGGGAGCTGGAGCCGCTGTAGCTGCTGGCACTGCCACTGATGCTGCCACTGATGGTCCTCCTGCAAGGCAGCAAACAGCCCTCCCACAGTGACAATCGTAATGGCAAAGAGAGAGAGGGGAGGAAAACCCCAGGAGAAAAGCAGAGATTTGCTCAGCACCCTGTGACTGATGCCCAGCCCTCCCTGAAGGGTGATCGGCCCCCTCCACCACTTCTCCCAGTTTATGTGCTGGGAATGATGTTCTGTGGTGGGGGATATCCCTGGGAATGATGTTCTGTGCAGGGGATATCCCTGGGAATGATGTTCTGTGCTGGGGATATCCCTGTGGCCAGCGTGGGTCAGCTGCTGACCCTCCACCACACAGATCCGTGTGGCACCAAACAGATCTCCCCCACATTCCTTTTTCCCCACCTTCACAAGCAGCAGCTCTCAAAAATGTCTTTTTTTTCCCCACTCCCACCCTGATTTTGCCACATTTCCTGTATTCCAGCCACTCCATCCTCCCTCCAGCCTCCACAGGCAGGAGCCACTCAAGGCAAATCAGGAGCATTCCCCTTTTCTCCCTGCCCCAGGAGATGGATTTCTCCCTGAACACTCCGGGATTTGCTGGATCTTCCAGGAGACAGAAACCTGGGATTTGCTGGATCTGCCATGAGATCAAGCCTCACTCCACCCCCCCTATCTCTCACCTCCTGGGTGGAGTCCTTGTCTGCCGTTCCTTCCTCCTTGCTTCCCGATTATCCCCTGCCTTGGCTGCCTCCGGGGCTGCTGCTGTAATTTTCGTGAGGGGCTGAGGGACTGGGAGGGCAGTGAGTTTCTTCACAGATTTCTCCCTGGAAAAACGACAATTTGCAGGTGTGTGATCCCAGGGGGTGGGCACAGAGCACTGATGTCCTCAGAAATGATGTGCTCTGGTTTGTTGTTTAATATTTTAGAGATTATAGAATCCTGGGATGGTTTGGGCTGGAAGGGACTTTAAAAATCATCCCACTCCACTCCATTCCACAGGACACCTTCCACAATCCCAGGTTACTCCAAACCCCATCCAACCTGGCCCTGATGTGATTCCTGAAGCTGCAAACACTTGGCTGTTTTACCAAAACACAAACACCATGGATTTCCCTAAAGGGATTTGTTCCCCATATGCTCAACTAATTCATCTTTTCAGAGACAAATTACGGCTGTACAACAGCCAATTCTGGAGATATTTGACTTGTAAATTAACTCCTGAAGCAGACTGGGTGGAAATGTTGTGTCTTATCCATTTAATTCCATCATTTTTATCCCAGACACTTACACCTGCTTAAAATCTGCCAGTCAAGCTTCAGACTTGAAGGATGAAAGGTGCACAGTTAATGCAAAAATTCTCTTTTTGACTCCAGCACACAGATCAGGAGGGTGCAAAACAGCCTGTGTGTGCCTGGATCTGTCCCTTGGCTTGTGTTCCCTGTGGAAAACTGGATGGGAGCACCAGTGTGTCACCCAACAGGCACTGCAGGAGATGGGGATGGCTCTGGCTCCTCAGGGCTGCCCCATTCGGGGCTCAGAGCACTCCAACCTCTGCTCTGGCAGCTGGACACTGCTCCAAGCATGATCCTGGAATGCTCTGGGCTGGAAACACCTTGAAGATCATATTCCACCCCCTGCCATGGCAGGGACACCTTCCACTGTGCCAGGCTGCTCCAAGTCCTGTCCAGCCTGGCCTTGGGCACTGCCAGGGATCCAGGGGCAGCCACAGCTGCTCTGGGCACCTGTGCCAGGGCCTGCCCACCCTCACAGGAAGGATTTCTCCCTGATATCCCATCCATCCCTGCCCTCTGGCAGTGTGAAGCCATTCCCTGTGTCCTGTCCCTCCATCTCCTGGAGCATCCCAGCTCCCCTCAGGCCCTGGAGCATCCCAGCACTGATTTCACACCCATGAACTGGGGAGGAGCTGCTGTCTGCACACACACACTGGCAATTCCTCCTCCTGCTGTGCTCAATATCTGCAGTTATCCCCTGCAGAACACAGGATTAAGCCCATGGCACGTTAGCCAGGGACAATAATCCCTGTGCTGGGGCAGGCTGCCCTGGTGTCACCAAACCAGCACTGCCAGGAGCACTGGGAGGGAGCAGAGGGCCCCAGAGGGCTGAGCCCCAAGTGGAGGGGGAAAAACCCCAAAAGGCAGGATAACAAGGGACAAGAACTGTGGCAAAGGGGATTGTCCTAAATTCTGGAGAATTCAGGGGGATTCCCATGGTGTCATTTATTTGCAGGTCAGCTTAGAAGAGGTGACATCACTACGGTGTTGTGTCACCCTCCAACGTCCCCGTAATTTGCCACTGCAGGGTTTGTGAAATAGCAATTTCAGGAATTTAAAGAGCAGCAGGGCTGTCAGAATGTGCCAAAACCATCTGCAGAGAGCTCCAGTCCTGTTTTCATCCTTCTCCAGGGTGAAAAGTTGATGAGGCTGAACTATTTCTTTATTCTGAGGCTGTGGATTAAGCAAAGCCACAGGAGAGGAAGGAATTTAAACTTTCTTACAACTCCTATTACGTATATTTAGATTATACAAATATATCTGCACACACAGAATGTTCCAGCAGTGAATCATGTGTTTAAACACTTGTATACAGGTAATATTTAAGGATACTTGTACAGTTTAACTTGGATTTAATAACTAAGTGTCATTATTTAATTAAATTGGCCAAGCTAAAAACTCTTCAATAAAGTTTGTATTTTGCATCTTTCGTTTCTTTTTTCAACTCAATCAGGTTTAGAATCCCAGAATGGTTTGGATGGGAAGGGACCTCAAAGATCCTGTTCCACTCCCTGCCATGGGACACCTTCCACTAGCCCAGGCTGCTCCAAGCCCCATCCAGCCTTGGACACTTCCAGGGATCCAGGGCCTCCCCACCCTGACAGGAACAATTCCTTCCCAATATTCCATTTAATACTGCATTCCTTCAGCTTAAGGCCCCTGGAGGTCAGAAGGGCTTGTCTGGACTCTCACCCAGAGGAATTTGGATGCTTACCCTTTCCCAGGAGGTGGCAATAATTCCCCTTTAGCCTTGGCCAGTGGCTTGTGAGGAGATGGTGTTGGAGAAGGAGAGGGAGAAGATGAGAAGGACCTTGACCTGGAAAGGAAGGAGACATCACTCAGCTCAGGCTCTGGGATTGCAGGAGCCTTTCCTGGCTCTCAGGGCATTCAGCCACCACTGCCTCCTCCCCAGGAACCTCCCTGAGCTCCTCCTGGTTTTATATTTGGACTCCGTGCAACAAAACTTAACTTCTGCCATCAGAGAGTGGGAAAAGTAGGAAACAGAAGGAAAAATAAGATGAGACTGTTGCTGTGGAATACCTGGACTGCCTCTCAGCTAGAAGAGAGGCAGTCCAGGTATTCCACAGCAACACCTGAGGCTGTCTCCATCCTCTCTATTCTCTCCTTAGGGAGACTACACTAGAAAATAAGTAGGATTTTGAGTTTTATGTTCTTTATGTCCTGTAATTCCTAGAGCAGTTCATCCTTTAAACAGCAGCAAAACCAAAAGAAACTTGGGAGAAAGACAAAAAATACACCTAAACCTAATCTGAAATTCCTGGAACACAAGAAGCAGCATTAAATGGTGCATCCCAAAGGTGACAATCAAGGGCAGGAGCTGTTTCCTGAGCCCCTGAGCACACACCACGTGCTGCTCCTGGGGTGATTCACCCCAGTGCCAAGAGTGGAAGTGCCTTGGTTGCACCCCAGTGCCTCAGCAGCCTGACTCCTGCGTGACAGCTCCTCTGGGGACAGCAGGGCACAGGGTGTTCCTCACCCTGTCACCTCAGGGAGAGGCAGCCAAGGGTGTCACCCACACTGGCACTGTCCTGCCTGGAGAGTGGATGGATGGGGAAGCTCATTCTGCTTCCCAGGTGGAATCAGCTCCCAGCTGAGCTTTTCCTAGGAGAAAGCAGTCCCAGAAGTGACAGAGTGTGTTCTGCCATCACCTGTGGGATCTGCTCGGGGTACCCATGTGGCTACAGCTCCTATCTAAGGAGCCAGTTCTCCCACTATGGATATTCCAGACTTGGGAAACTGTCTGCAGGGGCAAGGAAGTAGCAGAGGAATAAATCTTAATCAGCATGGGACACTGGATTGCTACTTTGAAGTGTCAGGACTATCACAAGACACAACTGCTTTAATAAAGAAACGGGATTTGCCTCTTGAAATAGAAATCCCAGCAGCACAGAACAGAGATGCTGCTGAACTTCCTCCAATCAGAAAATGCAAATGATGGGAATGTTAATCCACCACAGGCATGGGAAAGAGCCCAGCCACAACAGCACTGCACCTGTGGGTGGGAGCACTGTGGAGAGGAGGGGGTGGCTGACAGATCTCCTTCAGCCAACAACCACAGCCTCCCTCGCTCAGCCAAGGGCTTGGAATGGTTCATCTCAACAGAGCAGAAAGGAACTGTCAGGAAGCATTTGGAAACCATCCCACCATGGGTCCCCAGTCCCAGGAGCCCTACCTGGACCTGCTGCCTGAGAAAGAGCTGTGCCTGGAGGAGCGACTGGAGTAGGAGCTGTAGGAGGAGGACCTGGAGCGCGAGGAGCCGGACCCAGAGTAGGTGGATGAACGAGAAGAGGACCTGCAAGAGAAATATTACAATTCAGAGCTTCCTGAAAAGAAATATTATAATTCAGAGCTTCTTGAGAAGAAATATTACAATTCAGAGCTTCTTGAGAAGCCCCAAAGTTTTGTTTCCAAAGATGTTCTGCTCCAAGCCCCACCAGCTTTCTCCTCGGGGAACTGTCAGAATTTACAGCCTCTCCTCCAATGCCCTTTTTCTTTTAGGGAGGATGCTGTTGTTGCTACTCTCTTTGCACCCTTAAATAAGCCTCCCTTCCTTTAATTACTGATGTTCCAGCCTTTTTGGGAACAGCTTCCACATATTTTGTGCCTTTTCACTGGACAATCCCCTGACAGATCACCTGGCTGGGTGCAGTGATCCCAGCAGGAAAATCTGCTTCAGGAGGGCTCTGCCTCTTAGATGCCTATCTCCAATATAATGTGTTCCTCATTCCTCCTGGATACTTTCCCCCTCTTTCAGGAGCTTCAAATTCAAGCATTTAAAGGAAATAGATCCAGTTTGTGCCTCAAGGCTTTTAGATTCAGGGAGTTTCATTCTGAAATGTGGTTTTTATCTTATTTTACACCATTGGTTTCCAAGCCCCTTGCCAGCTCTCCAAGGCTCTGTCAAACCTCCACAATCCCAGTTCTCCCAGTAGCATCAACCTGCTCTTAATGGAGTGAGCTCAACTCCTCCCTCCATCCCAGAATGACCAGGACCCAGTTTTTCAGCTCCCAGCTCTTGCAGGGTATCTGCAGTGGTTTGCTCAGCTTTTCCAAATTATAGCCACAATTCCATGAGTGTTTCATCCCAGAGGAACACCATGACTTGGAATATGGGGCTGAGACACACTGAGCTGCTATCATGCAGACTGCATCCAGCTCTAATTCACTGGAAAAGTGGTTTTTCCAAGGATTTGCCTTTTCCTGGTCTCCAACAGTCACAGCACAGCTCCCACAGCTCCCTGCCTGCTTTGGGGTTTAATCTCACTCTGTGTCCATAGATGCTCCTGAGCAGCAAGTCTTGGACTGCTTTCCCAAACATAAAACCATGGAATGGTTTGGATTGGAAGGCACCTTAAGGACCATGCAGTTCCACTGGGCAGGGACACCACCCACTATCCCTGGCATGGAGAATCCACAACCACTCTGGACAGCCTGTTCCAATCACCTCAACACCTTCCCTGGGCACATGTGGGAACAGGAAAAACAGAAACTTCCACAGGCACTGAAGGGTTTGATCTGCAGCCTTGGAAGACACTTGGATTGATGTAAAAACACAATACACAGACATTAGGCAGAAAAATCATAAACTTGTGCTTCTATAGTTGTAAGCAAGACTATGCCTTAAGTAAGTGAGAAACTGTATTGATAAGATGGTGAAGGGTTTCTAAGGGTGCGGTTGTATGAAATAAGCTAAGAGTTTAGAAGTTATAACAGAAGCATATGTGTGTAAGTGAGTTAGAAACCCATTCCTGTTCCTGTTTTTGATATTTTGCTCTGCCAGCACAAATTACATAAAAAGTAGGAAAGTAAAGACAAATAGAACAATGGTCTGTGCATTAATGTTTGTCTAGAATAACTGCCTAAGCTGCAGAAAAGTATATTTAGTGAGATATTAGGAAGCTCTAAGCTTAATAATGGAGCTCTGTGCATTGTGTTTTCAGGCTTACAAACAGATATTGTATTGTATATGTAAAATAAGCAGGTGTTGTTTTAACCAAAGGTACGTGTGCTTACAGTGGTTGGATAGAACCACTGCCAGTCTGCTTTTGCTTTGTGTGATTGGTCAAAAAACTTATTTTCTAAGTTGTAACATTGAGTTCTTAGCCTGCTGCCTGGGATGTGAGCTGCTGGCACCCTCCCACTGTCACGAGCACGGAATGAGTACGTGTGCTTACAGTGGTTGGACAGAACTACTGTCAGCACGCTTGTGCTTTGTGTGATTGGTTAAAAAACTTATTTTCTAAGTTGTAACATTGAGTTCTTAGCCTGCTGCCTGGGATGTGAGCTGCTGGCACCTTCCCACTGTCACGAGCACGGAATGAGTACGTGTGCTTACAGTGGTTGGATAGAACTACTGTCAGCACGCTTTTGCTTTGTGTGATTCACTGCCAGCATGCTTTTGCTTTGTGTGATTGGCCAAAAAACTTGTAAAATAAGTTGTAACATTGAGTTCTTAGCCTGCTGCCTGGGATGTGAGCTGCTGGCACCCTCCCACTGTCACGAGAGCGATGCTGGGGAACACGACAGCTCCAGGCCGGTTCCCAGGAGCAGCACCCTGCCACGAGCCCCGTGGCTCTCACCTGGAGGAGCCCGAGGCGGAGGCGGACGAGGCGGAGGCTTTGCGGCGCCGGCGCGCGCGGCTGGGGGACACGGACACGCCCAGCTTCTTCTTGGGGGACTTGGACCGGCGCCACGGGTCCTTCCACTCGTCTGCCCGCTTGGACGGGGCGCTGCCCAGCAACGCGGCCTCCTTGTCCTTCTTCGGGGCCTCGGGCTGCCGGCTGCGCGACACGGACACGTCAGCGGCGGGGCAGGGAACAGCGGACACGTGCAGTGCCGTAACAGGATAGTGACAGAAGGGAAGGGAATGGAATGGAGGATAATGGCATTGTATTATATATGTGATGTAAGAAATATAGTATAGTGCAATGTAATGTAATATATTGTAATATAATATAATACAATGTAATGTAATACAATGTAAATATATATTATATACGTATATATATTTCTATTTATTTGCATATGTAATTGTATATAATAATACAACAATATAGTGGTGATAATACATTAATATATTATATAATGATGCCATTATACAATATTAATATATTACCAATATATTAATTAGCAATACTAAATTAATAAATAATTAGTTATTAATTACTATTCACATACTATAATAAGATGCATACATAAACATACATGGCCATGGAAAAACCCCCAAATTCCTGCCTCAGATAGATTTATTACAGCTCCCAATCTGCCCTGTGGGATCCCAGGAGCGTTTTGGGGTGGTGAGGAGTTAGGAGAGCTCTCAGTCTGTGAACCAGGGACAAAGCAGCGCTGCTCTGGCAAGGGAAGGCAAGGGAAGGCAAGGGAAGGCAAGGGAAGGCAAGGGAAGGCTGGTCCTGCCGAGAGCACACCGAGCTGGAGCCAGCCCAGCCTGCTGCAGGGAGAGGAGCCACCACAGCCTGGACTCTCCAGTGTCCCCATCACCAGGACACCCCTGGGGCTGTCACAGGCCAGGACCCAGTGACCTCCTTTCCCCTTCCAAAGGGAACATTTCCCTCCCCCTGGCCACAGGGCAGGCTGGTTTGTCCCTGGCTTGTTCTCTGGGTGCTCAAACACCACCAAACGAGGCGCCCAGCCAGGCCTCACTCTCCATCTCCTCCCTTCTCTTTTTAGGGCTCTACTTTCATTTCCCATTTTTTGGTTCTCCAGGTTTCCTTTCTCCTCTCCAACCCTCTGAAAATAACTCAGGGCCAACTTTTCAGCACCTGCACCAGACACTTCCTTAAGTACTCCAGGATGAGTTTCTGGAGACTAAGACTTTATTACCTCTCTTATCTCTGGGTGATTTAACCTGGAATTTTTCCTTGCCCTCGCTCTAACCTGCACTCAACTCCTCAATTACCTGCTTCTAACCTTCTCCCTGGGGTTTCAGGCAGAGCTTGTGAAGGATTAAAGCTTTCTGAAGTCTCTTGCACTCACCAAATTAGCAGGGCAATGATGAATTTATTGCTTTCCTCAAAGCAGTGAGTTCCCAGGGAATTTGGGGAAGGAAAGGCCCCTTCCCCGCTGGGTTCAGCCAGTACCACCCCATTACTCACACCACCGAAGCAACCACTCCCCAAACAACTTCCTCTAACTTTTTGAGATAAAAACAGCCACCTCCAAGTTTTCTAATAATTCTAGGCACACTTCAACAAACCCCAGGATAATGAGAGCTCTTGGTCAGGAGCCTGTCCTTTGAAGAGTTCACACCTCACAGAAGCCTCATCCCCCTCTTTTTGGCAGAGTTTCTCTTCCCCAGCCCAGGACTGGGATGTGCTGACCTAAAAATCCAGCATCCGACTCTTTCCTTATCTCTGCTGATGTAAAAGCAGTTTTACTCTTTGTCCCACAACTCCCTTGGAATATTCAGAGGAAAACCCCTCCTTTCACATTCACCCCTCCCACCAATCTCACTGCAGCCCCGGCAGAGGAGAACTGGATCCTCCAGAAGAGGAGGATCCAGTCCTCCAGAAGTTCTCCAGAAGAGAACTGGATCCTCACACAGCAGTGCTGAGTGCCCGGGGGGGAGCCCCAGGCAGGGTCATGCTGAGCTTTACTCCCCAGCACCCCCATTCCATCCTCCCCCTTTCCCAGCACTGCCCCAACACACACTGTTCAACCCAGCACAGGGCACCTGCAGTGCTTTGGTCCAGTTTCCCCCACAATTCCATGAGTATTTCACCTTGGAGGAGCTCCACCACTCGGAGTATGTTATAACCTGCTAACATCAATAGTACAAGCTGGGCTCGAGGGCTCCTTCCAGCACATGTTTACAAATCCATTTGGAATTACCAGTTTCAGCTCTGGAATATCCTCAAATTAACCAGAGGAGAGAAAGAAGGAAAGGAAACTGGGAAAAGCCTCCACACCTTGCATGAAGCAGCAGGATAAAGAACAAGGAAAGGAGGAGAGAAAACCACGTGAGGGTGCTCATGGAAAATGCCCAATATCCTGATCCAGTGTCCCTTCCCAGGGAATTGGGGTCTGTGAGCTCTGGGAGATGCAGGGGGAACATTCTGCAGGCACAGGCAGCTTTATCTAGGATAAAACCTCTGCAGAAGTTTCTCCAGAATGACAAATGTGGAAAGCAACAGCTCTGCCAGGGAGGTTTAGGGTGGATATCAGGAAAGGCTCTTCCCCCAGAGGGTGCCCAGGCTCCCCAGGGAATGGGCACAGCCCTGAGGCTGCCAGAGCTCCAGGAGCCTTTGGACTCTGCTCAGGATTGGATTTTGGGGTGTCCTGGGCAGGGCCAAGCATTGGCTGAAGATCCCTGTGTGTCCCTTCCAGCTCAGGGTATCCCACAAGTCCATGAACTAAAAAATGCTCCTCGGAGCTTCCAACGTGGGGCATCACCAAAGAAACTTGTTCAGCCTAAAACTGGGATCTCTCCAGGCTCAACTCCCTCCTGAACCAGTTTTCAGAAAGAAAAGCATCCTCCAAGATTTCTTCTCCCTTAAAACCACCTCAAACTCACATCCAACAGCCCATGCTGGGAGCTGGAACAACTCCAGCTGAACTCCAAGCTTGGGTGGCAGCTGGGAGCAGGGATGAGTCTGAAAGCGTTCTCCCTTAAAACAACCTCAAACTCACATCCAACATGCTGGGAGCTGGAACAACTCCAGCTGAACTCCAAGCTTGGGTGCCAGCTGGGAGCAGGGATGAGTCTGAAAGCAAATCTCACTTACTTGCACCTATTACCTGGTTTGATGCAATTCCCTGTGGATGAAGTCACTTTCTGGAGGAAAGGTTTTTCCCCAGGAAAACCACAACAGAAAGCCTCCTTTTGGGGCGTGCTTGGCTTTTTGACTCAGCACTAAACGCTATAGACGAGGAAGGTGCTGCTCCTGTCAGGACAATTTCAAAGCCTTCTCTCAGAGCTTCCAACGTGTGGCATCACCAAAGAAACTCGTTCAACCAAAAACTGGGATCTGGGGCTGCTGGATTAATGTTCTCCAGTGGAATTCAGGAGGCAGAATGAAGGTGAGCTGGAGCAGCTCCCTAGAGAACATCCCAATGACAGCCTGGCCATCTCCCAGGTTGGGAGATGAGGAGGGCAGGATTTCTCCTCACTTTCACTCCTACAGCCAGGTCATTTTGTGCTGGATCTGGGGCTTGGTGGAGCTCCCAGCTCCTGAATTCAAGAAATCAAAAAATAAGAATGGTTTGCTGCTGGCTCAGTGAGATCAACCTGCCATGGAGAAAAGGAGGGAAGAACTCCAGGGCTGGTGAGCCTGGGATCAGCTCAGGAGTTCATCCTCAACCTCACACAGCTGCCCAGGTTGCTGGCAAACCTCACCCACTTCAGAACAGAGAGTGGCAAAGAACTCCCATGTTCAACCCAATCTTTTTCACCAAATTCCAATTTTTAGGAAACAATTGAAATATTTCAGAATTACCTCCTAAGTCTCTTCGACAAGGTTTTAAAAAAATTAATTAGAGGGAAGAAAAGACGAGACAAGAGTGACCAAAATCACCTGAATTTCCACCCAGATCCTCAAGAATCACTTGGGCAGCAGCTTCCAAAGGCAAATTTACCCTTAAAACAACTAAAAGTTTTCTTTTCCAGAAGGAAGAGGCTGATGCCCATTTGGAATGTAATGACAGCAATCATGAGGAGAAGTGAAGCTGAGCGTGGCTTTGGCAGGGAGAGGAGGAGCAGAGGCAGCTCCAGCTGGCAGCACCCCAGCATGGCTCAGCCAGCTCCCAAATAAACCTGCCTCCCAAAAAAACCCAGCTGAACGTCACTGAGCCCAACAAAACTTCGGAGAGGGGGAGAAAAAAGCTGCCCAGCTCAAGTTCTCCTCATGTATTATGCAAATGCTGCCCAAGCATTTCTAATCTTGGAGGGGAAAACGAGCGTGCAGGGGAAAGCGCTTCCTGTCCTTCCCCATCCCTGGGCCAGGGAACCAAACCTTATCAGCCCTGGGCAGCAGTGATGTCAGCCTGGCTTGGGGCTGCTCTTCCAGCTCCCTTTTCTCCAGGAGGGAAGGCCAGGGATGATTTAGCAGCCTCTGTGCTCCTGCAGGAAAGCTGCGATTGCGTCAGCAGCGCCGGCGCCGCTTTTCCTTCAGTGGCAAGTGGAATTTTCCAGAGGAAGTGGACTCGAGGAATGACTGGAGCCATGTGCCAAGGCAGCTATGAAGGGACCTGTAAACTGCTGCAAAATAAATTCCAGCAGAGTGCAAGCACGCAGGAACTCTTCCTGTCTTGGAGTAATGGAGAGGGAAATGGCTCTGGAAAGCCACGTACGTGTGTCCAGGACAGGGAACGCTGGGCCTTGGAGCTGCTGCCCACTGGTCTTGGTGAAATATTAGAAATATTAGCAGGGAAAATGCTTTTCTCAAGCTGTTTCCATCTGAAGCTGAGTTATCAGTCATAAAAAAAAAAAAAAGAAAAAAAAAAAAAAGGAAGGATTTCTTCAAAGCCTGATGGGGAGAGGCTTGGAAATTAAAGAGTGGAGATACAATCTGAACCTCCAGGATGAAATCATCCCAGCAGGGAGATAAAGCTATCTAAGATGGCATCTCCCCTAAGGGCTGAGCATTTGACGCCTGGAGAGCCTCCTCTCCATGAGCAGGAGGCAGGATCCTGCCTGGAATGTGCCAGGGATCCTGCCCTGGAATTACCTTGTTCCACCAAAATCCAGGCTGGGGGATCTCCCTGTAACTCCATCTCTGAAATGCCAAAGAAAATCACATTCCTTGAGATCCACAGCTGTGTCACT